CACAACAATTCCCATCAGAATATGTTTGAGAACATCTACTCCACTATTTGAATACATTGTCGTCTGTATCTGACTCAATTAAATTGCACCACATAGCTTATGACAAGAGATGTGGCGGTGATGCTAATACACGATACTGTCATTCATCTCCTTGGAAGTACGTGATGAAAATTCAAATGAGTTTTCTTAAATTTCAGGAAATAAATAAATAAATAAATTATATGTACCTAGGCTCCTTTCTCCCATTTCAGTTAATCACCGAGTGTAGCCAACAAGCAGCATATCAAGTTCACCTTGCTTTGGAGATACTTTTTCTCCTCTTGATGAGTCCATACATTAAAGTGATATAGGTAGACTTTGGTATGAAAACACCCTTCTGAGTAAGTTCTCCAAAGATATGCATTGCATCCTTAAATCTCCCTTGAGCACAAAGCTCATTAATCTCTTCTGACTGAGCAATAGAGCTCATGTCCTGTTCCACTGAGGACTCACCCCCGATGTCTTCTTCCCCCTTATTCATTCCAATGGACTCACTAGATGATATTCTCATCTCAACCATTTTTGAAGTGAACTCTTCTGCTTCTCTAATCCTTCCAACGTTAGTAAGTGCTTCAACAATGGCATTGTAAGTGTAACTATCTGGCCCTAGTTTCTTCAATTCCATTTCAGCAGCAAGGCCTAGAGCATCCTCTAGCCTTCCGTTCTTACATAAGGCTGTTATCAGCGTATTGTAGGTTACTGCATCAAGCTGTTTCCCTTTATCAATCCATGTATTGAAGAGACTAATGGCTTTTTCAATCATTCCTTCCCTGCAAAGTCCAAGAAGAAGAATGTTGCATGTATAGATATCAGGTTTGACTGAATTCTCAACCATTTTGTTGTGAAATTGAAATGCTTTCCTAACATTCCCCTCCCAGCAGTATCCATGAATAATCGTGTTGTATGTTATCTCATCAGGAATTAACCCATTCTCCAAAAGTTCATTGAACATAGTTATAGCTTGCTCAGTTTTGCCTGATTTACAGAGCCCTCCAATTAGAGAATTATATGTGACAATACTAGGAATGATCTCTTTCGCTTTCATCTCACCCCAAAGCTTAAGAGCTCCGTCTACATTTCCATCCTTGAAGTAGCCAACAATCAGACTGCCATAGCTTACTTCATCAACAATATAGCCACGTTTAGTGGCACTAGTCAGCAACTCATAAGCCTTACTAAGATTCTTTTCCTGACAAAGTGTGTTCAGGACTGTGTTTAGTGTTACAGTCTCCATTTTCAATCCTTTTTCTCCAATTGTGTTGATTATTTTAAATGCCTCGGCAAGATTTCCCCTTTTAGAAAACCCACTAATCAAAGTATTGTATGAAACACAGTCAGGACAATATCCATTCTCCTCCATCTTCCGAACAGTTTCAGTAGCATCATTCATCCTCCCTTCCTTGCAATACCATTTGATCAATATGTTATAAGTAACCTCATTAGGTCTCAAACCATTTTCACTCATTTCATCAAGTAAGCTAAAGGCCTCTGAACTCATTCCACTATCAAAACACCCATTTATCAATGTATTATAAGTTACCACATCAGGTAACAACTTCAACCCTTTCATTTCATCCTGAAGCCTAAACGCCTCGTCAATCTTTCCTGCATTACAAAGCCCATTAATCAACATGTTATAGGTCCAAACATCAGGCAAGGTATTGCTACGTGTCATCAGCTCAATAACCTCAGCAGCATCCTTCAACAACCCAATTCTACAATACCCGCTCACCAAAATGTTGTAAGTGTTCTTATTTGGAAGAAGCCCCTTGTTCTTCATATTCAGTAGTAATTCACGGATCTCTTTTAATCTACCCTTCTTGCTCAATCCGTCCAAAACAGTATTATAGCTTACATTATCTGGTCTGCACCCAAATTCCTCCATCTTATACAACAATTTAATTGCATCATTAAACTTGTTCTTTAAACAATGCCCATTAATCAAAATGTTATAACTCATAGTATTTGGAGCTAAACCAAGCTTAACTGCATCATCCAGCAATTCTTTACAGAAATTTACAGAGTGGGCAGAAGGGTACTTTACCAGCGCAATGAGGAGAGTGTTGAGAGTAAGCAGGTTGGGGCGCAGACCATGACGCCTCATTTTCTTGAAAACCTGCAGAGCGAGGTGAGGGCATCGGCAGTGGCAGTAAGCGCCGATGGCAGTGTCCAATAGGGCCTTGGAGGGCTTCGGAAGCGGCGGAGATGGGCGGAGAAGGTGGCGGTGGAGCTCATTCTTGGGTTGATCGGAAGGGATGAAGTTAACGAGGAGCGACTTGGCGTCAGAGAATTTGCTTTTGGAGAGGAGGGATGAGAGGAGATGGAGAAGTGATGGGAGAGGGTTAGCGGAGAAGGAGGGGACATTGGAGTGGGCCCACCTGAAGAAAGAGAGGAGAGTTTGAGGGGAAGAAGACAGAGCTCCGGAGGAGAAGACGGAGTGGATGACCGGCGGCGTGAGGTGGGGAAGGTATGGATTGAGGGAGTCATGGCGAAATAGCGGTTTGGAGGAGGAGGAGGCGAGTAGAGCGATGATTGTTTGACTCAGTTGGGTAGGGTTTAATGGAGGTTTTGGTGAGATTGAGCTCATTTCTGTCTTTTTTCTGTTTTAGGGTTTGAGGGTTTCATACAGAAGGCTGACCTTGTGAATCGGAAGAGAAGCGGAGAGGTCAGAGGCGATGGAAGTTGAGCTGCACTGCAACCCTAGCTCACCAGTTAGTTCTTTTTAGATGGTTGAGCTTCATAGTTAAACGGATGAATATCAGAAACAATAAAATGAAAATGTGTACTGCACATATCTAATATCTTGGCGGAACAAAAAATAAGTTATTTTGAAATGCAGCTCTGTTGGGGCGTAGCGAATCCTTTGAGATTGGGATTCAACTTTTTGTGAGAAGAAAATAAATTATTGACTTATAATATTTGAACGTAGCTCGATCTCATGACCTTCCATATGAGAGAGGTCTACATGTCATCCGAACAAAAATACTTGGAAGGTTTCGTGCCAGAAGAAGAATAATGAAGTTTATAAATTAAGGGTGGGAATAAGTCAGGCCCCTTCTAGGGCATAAGGCCCGGCCTACTTAAGGCCTACATAGATTTGATTTGTTTAATAAAATGGATGATCAGGTTTAGTTTATTTTGAAATCTATTAAACTAAAATATGTCAGGTCTATTTATACAAAGTTCGGCCTTCAGACTTACAGACCTAGCCTATTTACACACATATATATAATTTATTTGTAATATTAAGTTAGTATATATTTTATTTTTTTTAAGAATTTAATTGTTTGTTTTATAACTTTCGATAGTCAATGACTAACATTATCATTGAAATAATAATATAAATATAGAGAGAATAAATATATTTGTATTAATGAATTTTGCTTATCATTTTCCGTATATGAAGGGATATTGAATATTGTTTATCCGCATATTGGGAGTCATTATTATTTTGGGAATAGAGAAGCTCAATTTGTTTTATATAATTAGTAACCGGCCTAGTCCTACGGTCCAAATCTCCCGCCCGAGGCAAATTATATCGTGCACCGTGGTGTATAATTGATTATGTACCACGCATTAAAACGACGTTATTTTGTTAAATAAAAAGAAAAAGTATTTGTTTTCCGCCGTTCCGCACCCTTCCGCAAAAAAAGTAACTATATTATTCAGTTTCATTTTGTATAAACTGCAATTTCAGTTCAACACAATTACAGTTTCATTTCGATATAACTACAGTTTCATTCGATATTTATATACTCAAATATGTGAAAATGTTATTTAATTTTATTTTATATACACTATATCTTTATTAAAACACAACTATATAATTATTTTGATATAATTACAACTTCATTGTACAATATACACTCAAATATGTGAAATGTTATTCAGTTTCATTTCACTACACCTACAGTATAATTTTGATATAAGTGCAGTTTCATTTGATAATATAAAAATAATATGTGAGGCAGTGACGGTTTAGATGTACTATAGTATCAGTTGGTGTTTAATACACCAAGCATGCAGACTCTGTTAACGGTAACAGCGGGTCGTTTCTTTACATAAAGAAACGGTGCCGTATGCACCGTGGTCTACAATATAACGACTGCCAGCCCGATCGGTCAGCTCGATATGCATATCCATCATTAATCTATGGATTATAAAGATTGGAACTTTGATTAATTAATTAATTTATTTATTTATTTATTTTTTTGGATCAGAAGGGGAACCCTAGTGTTAGAAAAACTCAGCACCTCACATCCTAGAAGCAGGTGTTCTCAGAAACTCAGCACCTCTCATCATCAGTCATGGCCTGTTGGACATAACGAGGGGGAGCTCAACAGTCGATCCAACTATTGGAGCAATGGGTTGTTTGTTTCCTGACGATGTCAGTTGCTTTATTTTGTTCATGGAACACATGTCGAAGAGTCACTGTTCAGTTTTTACTCAACGATTTTCTACAACTCTCAATGACACTCTTGATTGGCTCTCTTGGAATTGTCTTTCTTGAATTAGTTGAATCCAATCAACTTGTAGTTACCAAAACATCAAGTCGACTATCTTAATGTGAGAAAAATCTTTGTTTTCAAACTCATATTTTGATCATCAGAAATTGATACTAATTAATGATACGATTTACAGCTTTAATGCATATTTTGAATATCAAATTTGGTAGTAGAGTCAGGTCAGATGCTAGGTTTAATGTATAGTTCAATTATTAATTTCAGTAGTAAATTCATATCAAATATGAGATTTTAGTTGAGACAAAATATAACGGAGCGGGCCGCATTCATGCGATGCAATCAACGTTTACACAATCAAATACCCTTCAAGAATTCAGGGACGTTCCAAATCTGTATTCCATTAATGCAATCAGATCACTGTAATCAGTTACAGAGTATATTTTCATCATAAATTTATTGAATATTCAAAATTTCCCTTCCTTCATTTTAAGGGCGTCTCTCAGTTGAGGGTGATGTTATTCTGCAAAAATGCAATTCGAAACGAAGAAGAAGAAGAAGAAGACGAGTTTCAGTTACAACGTTGTGGGTGAAAAGCTGAAGCTGATTGATATATCTTCAGAGGACGATTTCCTTATCGATTCCCCTTTGTTTGATTCTCTTGAAGACCTTCGACTTTCAGGTTCATTTTGCTTTCTTGTCGGATGATCTATGAAGCCCAGTTCGCCAATTTGTTGCTTTTCCAATAAGTATATGACATTTGCTAGAAAGTTTGGTGATTTATACCTTTATTGTCAATCATTTTGCAGTAACGTGGGATAATAGTAAGGAGAATGAGGGTTCTAAGGTTTCAGGCAATGGAACTTCTTCCAGGAGCAGTGTTGCAGAAGAACTGTTGCAGAGGCAACAGAACAAGCTTTCATCAATGGAGTCTGGAAGACCTAGTTACTTGCGTAAAAGTTTGGCGTGGGATAAGGCTTTCTTCACCAATGCCGGTACAAATTAGCAATTCATTTCAAAAATAAAAATAAAAATAGGGACAACCCAACCAAGCTGGTCAGACTAATGACTTGTTAACTACAATATTACTAGTTGCTCTTTAACTAGAGCAACATATTGACCTTCTTAGTTTGAGCCGATCAACTATGGGTAACATAAGTTGATTTATCTCATGTTCTTTTATCGATTAGGGTGACAAGACGTGATTTATTTGGTGCACATTCTTGAGTAGTGGCTACCGATTTCCCTTAGACACCCAAATTAGCAATTCAATAACCCAGATTATATTTCTTGCTGATTAGTGATTACTAACACTCTGGGCATTCACAGGTGTCTTAGATGCTGATGAATTATCACTCATAAGCAATGGAGCCTGTCAGCTGCCTGAAACTCAACAAGATGTCCGTGAAAGAAGACCAGAAGGCAGTTCAAATGATGATCATCTCTCAGTTAACACCATTTTATCCTCCAAGGAAGATGGAATCAGTTCTGGGAATATGGTATGTCAAACTGATGGTGACTTGGGCATCTTTTAAAATTTCTTGAAGATGAGAACTCTTGCTTTAATTTGGTTTTCAGATCAAGTCTGCAGCAGCTTCCAAAAAGGATCCAATCAATATTCCAAGATTGGAGAGAACTAAAACCAAGATTAATGGAGAGCTCAACTTGCAGTCGCTCAAGCCGCCTAAGGTATTGACGACAAAGATGAAAAATGGTTCTTCTGGGCACAGGAAAACAGGTTCAGTGGGTGGTTTCCAGGCCAAAATGCAAGAATCGAAGACAGCTAGAACTGGTAAGAACTAAAAAGCCGCATCTGCAGAAGCTTTTGTTGTTAAATGCATTAGTTTCTGGTTTTTTAAATGGTTTGAATTTCTTTTACAGCACAAGCTTTGTTGGCTCCAAAGAAATGTGGTTCTGGGACTGGGACTGGGAGTTCATGCAGTACAGTTCGATTTTCATCATCAACTCCAACAGTTTTTGCGTCTGTTTCTTCCATACCCAAACGTGATTCGTCCACAAAAGCTTCTTCTTCTTCTTCTTCTTCTTCAACCATTCTGAAAAACAGGGCAGGATCCAGAAAGACTAAACTCTCTACCTCTGTTTCAACCTCACTTGGAAGTACACATCTGAAAAATCTCATCAGTTTCTCAATCCCAAACAAACCTCGATACAAATCTCCTCCTGCAAGCTCCTCCACCAAGGCTGCAGTGGCGTCTCCCATTGATGGCACTCCAAAAGCTTCTGACTTGAGCAGCCTGCAAACTCCAAAACGCTTCATTTCTCAGGAAACAATATCCACACCGAGTCAACTCGGTGAACAAGCAGTATTGGGACCTGCTGCTTCTTCTGCAGGGAAACCTTCCAGTCTTCGTCTGCCATCTCCAAAGATTGGCTTCTTTGATGAGGTATTTAAGTTTCTACTTCAACTAAACAAATGTTTCATTCCAATTAAAAAATCACAGTAAAACTACAAATTTATTATGGTAAATATATTGCAGGTGAGGCCAAAAGCAAGTAGAGTGTTGAAGTTTGAAATAGGACAGGCAAGCAAAGGGTGTGCAGAAGAAGGCAAATCTGCAGGGAAAGCTCTGAAGCCACAAGCAGCTAAAACTCCTGTCGGAAACGGTAAACTGAAGAATGTTTCAACTCCTCGTCGTCAGCTCCGAAGTTGTGCATCTTTCAGGCTAGCAAGTTCTTCATTTCTCCCTGAAAACTCTCCGGAGTGTGACCGTGAAATCTTCTGCAAGTCAAGAAAAGTGGGCGCCGCCGGGGAACACGAAAGGAGAAGCGTGGAGGTGGTCGGAAGTGGCGCCGTTAAATCAAGAAAGAAAAGGGCAGGAGGAGAAGTCGGCGATTTAAGCAGGCGGTTGGAGCTCATTGATTTATGGGATGACCTAAAGATAGACTGTCAATGGCGGCAACAGCCTCACGGTGAAAAATCTACATCTCCTTTCTGTTCAAGAACTCCCCTTGCAGATAAAACTCGTCTCTGCAACGTAGTGGAGACGAAGAAGCCTCCATCTTTCCCTTCTTCATCACAAAACACTGATAAAGAGAACATCTGAGCTCTCTCATCTCATCTGTGGATATATTATTCATCACACAATATAATTTTAGTTATGGTTTTTTGCTTTTAATTTGTTTGTGGATTTGGAATTCCAAACTCTTGATCTAATTTCGATCATTATTATTAAGATTAATGAGAACAAGAATCCATATGATGATTAATTACAAGAATTCATTCATCATCAAAGTGTAAGTAGCTAATTAAGCTAGACAACCAAGACATAAATAGCGTATATAATGCCGGGTATGTATCCCAGAATGGTTAGCAGCAAAGCAATCCAGAACTCCACCTGCAAATCCCACATAACAAAACAACAACGTAAGACATCTCGATCAACTGCAGCCATATATATATATATATATATATATATATGATGATTCAGTAAGAGACAGAGAGAGAGAGAGAGAGAGTAGTTACTCCACAGCCATAGCGAAGGAAGACACCAACTGGAGGAAGGAGAATTGCGAGTAAGATTTCAACGAATGTTTCTGAACCCATTATTTCTCTTTCAATTCGATTGATCTATCTTAATTGGAATCTTAGACTACAATATCCCTTATCAACTGCATGTATATTAATAAATAGTGGCAGTGGCAAGGGCGATGTGCCAGGTGTGCAGGAGGGAAGACGACACGTGGAAGGAGTTAAAACACGTGGCACTCCCACCACATATACACATGTAATGTGTCCCTGTCAATCATCATCATCATCCTTCAAAACTTCACCTTCACCTGCGAGCCCATCTGGATGGCTTTGAGATCAGATCACCATATCTCCTTTCGGCCCAAAGTTTCAATTTATATTATAAAAAAAAAAAAAAGAAAAAAAAGAAAAAGGACACATTATATTGTAAGATGCCTCGAATGATACGAAGTAAACGGTACATATATATTCCGTAAATCCGTAATGTTTACGATGATGCAAGTGGCACATAGACTAAAATTAAAACTAGGGTTTGATATGATAGATGGCACATGGTTTTGGTGCATGCATGAATGCATCATATATGCCTTCAGTTTTTGCTCCCCGACACAATCTCGCTTCCACCCTGCTCCATTCCTGCCACCTTTCATTATCAATGGAATAATTACAGGTGGATCTGGGACGAACCGGACCCGAGGTACTAAACCCGGGCAAGCGATCTACGAGGAGCCTGCACCCTTCTTGGGGTCGGCCATCCGCGCTCGGCCGCTATGCAGGGCCGTATTTTAAGTTTTGGTGGCCCTGTTCTAGTAAATAAATGTGGCCCTACCAAAATCATAATTTTTAAAACTAATACATGCAAGTTTCGAACCTTTGACCTCCAAGTTAAAATACAATAAATACACATTCTTACCATCTCTTCATAAAACCTTTAAAGTTTAATTAAAAACTTTTTAATTTTTATTTTTAAACTAGCTAGGTAAAAATTAAATATTGAACCTCTAAATTTTGGGGCCCCTCTAAAATTGGGGGCCCTGTGCGGTAGCCCAGCTTGCACAGCCTAAAATCCGGCCCTGCCGCTATGGGGTCGGTCTCCATGGGCTCGGCCACCCTAGACCGGCCTCATGGGGTCGGCTGCTCTTTTGCCGACTGCCTGGCCGAGCCCTGTGCTCAGCCAAGAGACGTGGTCCACGCGTAGAGAGAGTCATGCGGTGACGATGGTGGCACCCCGTGTCTTCTGGAGCTGTTGGGGCGACATAGAGTATAAAAGCACTCCTCAATGTTCTAATCAAGCATCTTTAGTCATAAAGTCATGCTTGTTATTACAGGTTCCGTACCTCTGTAATAGCGTTTTATATTCAATTAATACAATATCAATCTCCGTGATTATATTTGTATCGATATTCACACCCCTATTATCGTTTTAATCACATACTTGTCACATTTATTTATTTACTCAGGTTAATTAATTCGGACCTGATTTAATTAATTCCATCAAATCCCTACGTTTTTCATTTTTCCATCTTTCGAATTTTTGAACGAATAACCTATACTCTGTATTAGTTAATTTCTGAATGACAGATTATATATATAGACAAACAAATTTCTTCATAATAAGTGTAACGAATGACTGATATTGAGTTTTTGAGAGTGAGCATAACATTTAAGGGTGATTATGCAAGTAAAATTTAGACCGAGCCATGAAAAGCATGCATGATTTTAACTGTTTTAGGTTACATTACAATATAATATAAAATCCCAGATTTATGCCAGCAGCTCAAGCTGAGCCACCGCCTACGTACAAGGTTAGACGACAATGAAGAGAATGAATGAATCTAATTAGCGGCTGCCTATTCATAACGAGAATCTTTTCTTTTTTTCTCCCATAAAAAAAATTAAAACAATAAAAAAGAAAAATAAATAAAATGGGAAATCAGAAGAGCCACTGCAGATCTGATAATAATTTTGTTCTGAGCAGCCATCATCATCCTCTTCTTCCTTTTCTTTTTGTGTTATTTGCACTTTGATCCTCCTTCCATACCTAATTTCCCTTAACCACCCACTTCAGAGCTTCTCCATTCCCAACGACTGTACCTATTCCACAGCCAAGCAAACTGTATAGTGTACTATATATCAGATTATCATGTTACAGACTTACAGTTTATTATACAATAAAATTAATCAAAACAAATTATACCATGTCGGTCCATTTCAGTGATAATATATATACATGATGGATCATAGCTTAAAATTAAATCAACTTGCATGTAAATAAATTAATAATCTGATTATCCACTCAATGCCCACGTGGTGGTGTTCTAGTGGTCCACTGCATAATCATGATCTTTTTAAAAATAAAATAATTAAATTACCCAGATTTTACAGTTGGCAGAGGAGATTATTACTTGTAAGATCCCAACCCCATGTGAGGCTATGATTTCTTGTTTCCTGCGGTCAAATGTAGGTTTGACCGTCCGGAAAACACGTTTACTGGTGTACTAGGTTAGGTAAAATGAGTAGAATTTGAAAGTATTTGCAGTAATTTATTACTCACTAGGTTAAGGATATGTACCTGCTGCGGTCGGGGCGATTGATGTGGGCTTTGATAAGAGGGCCGGAACAGTGGGAACTGGGCCCGGAGTTGTCGGAGAGTACAAATGGGCCGGCAGGCCCAACGTCTGTGTCTGATGGTGAATTGGGTAGAAAGGGTAGACCGGCACCAACGTGTTTGCACCCATCATGGCCTGGCCGGGGTGATAAAAATGTCCTCCGTTCATGTAGGCCCCGCCGCCGTAGCTCACCTTCTGCACGCGCCACCGCAACCAACGAAATTTTTAGAAAAAATTACTATCACTTTTAGTTCCCAACTATCAATTCAGTTCGACTATTACTTACGTGGTTATAAGTCATGTCTGTGGCGACGTATGTCGGAGGGTACCTATGAAATTTGAAAAGAAAGGGGAATAAAGTTTTGGGCCTACTGATAAAGCATATGGACCATGAAAATCAGTGCGGAGATCCGGGGGCATACCCGTAAATTGGAACAGCTTGGCGGTGGTTCTGAGGGTGGAATGGCGGAGCAGCAGCGATGCCGGCGGCCGGAGGAGGAGGTGGCGGCGGTGCTCCGGCGGGATAGTACCACTGCACGTGATTTACGGGCGGTGTCGAGGCTGCCCTCGGTCCAACATTGGATCCTTCACGATTTGTATTATATTATTTAGTGGAAAAGTTATAGTATATTTTTAGTCATTTTGGACAAAAAAAAAAAAAGAAAGAAAATAATACCTTGTGGAAGTGGAGGGGTGGTGGAGGAATGCGGCGGCCGGGGGCGGCGCGCGCCAAGCGAAGCAAGATTGCAGTTGGCTCTCCGGCCGTGGATCATCGGCGAAGCGTCCTCGCAAGCCTTCTTCGCTGCCTCCGCATCTTTAAAAGTAACCTTTTTGACATTTTTCAAGAAAAACACATGCAATAATATTCATTATATTGCCACAAATTCAAGAATAATAATAAGGAGAAGAAGAAGAAGAAGAAGACGGCGGCTTACAAAACCATAGCCTTTGGATCTGCCGGTGAGCTTGTTGGAGATGATGACAGCCTCCAAAATCTCACCAAACTTCTCAAAGTGCTCTCTCATGGCCTCCTTCGGCGTCTCCCACGCCAACCCTCCGACGAACACCTTCGTCAACGTGGTGTCACCCAAGTTATTCTGCCCGGCGACGACGCTGCTGTTAAGGTTGCTCATTGTCATCTCCGAACCCAATCCACCACAATCTCCCTATATATATAACCTCGCACTCTGCAAACCTTAATTAGAATAGAATAGAAGAGAGAGAGAAAGAGAGTCAACAAGGGGTTTGAGAAGAAATGGCGAGAGATTACATATATAAACAGGCCAGGGAGATGGAAGTAGTGGGGAGGGAGGTAGTGTGAGTGTGCTGGAATGGAATAATATAATATAATGAAAAAACAGATGGACAGAAGAGCAAGACAGTTGGACATTGTGTGTTGAGGCCATCAAGAATTCAACATGCTTTCTTTTTCATCCATCTCCTCCTACCTGCCTTTAATTGCAAGCTCTCTCTATCATATTGCACCATATACTTTCGTTAATGCAATACTATTATTAACTGGTCTGACTAGTAGATAGCATTAGCTGCTGATTGTATAAAGATATTTGGTAAATTAGTTGGGGCCCTTAAGGTCGGGGTGTGGGGCCCTTAGGGTTAGGGTTCAGCGGTTTGGAAGAATGTTTGGTAAATTAGTTGATAACTTATTAATGAAAAATATAATGACCTTTTAAGGGTATAATTTATTTTCAAAAAAAAAAAAAAAAAAAAAGAAGAAAAAGTTGATCCAAAAAGTTAAAGTTGTTTTGAGCAACTTTTTAAATTTTAGCGTTTTAAAGCAATAAACAGTTACAAAAAACTTGTTATAACCAAATCAAAGAGTTAATAATGGTCAAACAAGCTAAAAGTGACTAATAAACAAACTATGTTACCAAATAGGGTCAATATCTATTTCAAAAAATTTGTCCCGGTCCATAATATCGAGTACAATCAGCATACTTCTTTATTTCAGGTTACCATGTATTACAAATATATATATCTCAAAAAGGGTATGTAAAAGGGTGGAACGTTATATGACTCTTATTCTTACTTAGGGTATAAAATCAAATGTTTTTATATAATTTGTGAAGTATTATATATGCGGACCCTCTAATAGTTGTTGTTGAATGTAAATGTTATAGTTGTTGTACTTTCCAAACAATTATTGTATCTTTGATGTTTAATTTATAAATATTTAAAAAAGTTGTTTCATATGTACCACCTAGTATTAGATAGATGATAGATCTATATATATGTACTTAAAACTTAAAAGTGGTATTTAACGTGCCTAGATCTGTATGGAGATGATTCATGATTGTGTACTGCTTGCATATTTTTGCAAAAAAAGTACGTGGATTGGCGCTGTAATTAGTATTTTTTTTTTTGGAAAATAAAATCTGCACTAATGACGGACCATAATTATTAGCAACTGCCAACTGGTGTATTATAAAGTTCCCTAATTACTTCTACACCAAAATAATGCTATTCGAAACTATGCAGATATCATTTCACATTTTTATGACAATTAATTTCATTTTTTATCCTAGATTTATAGATAACAGTTTATTTTTAGTCAATTTTTTTTTTCAAAACATTCTTTTTTAGTTCTAGTATTAATGTGCCATGACCATTTTTGACCCCCCATCAACAAAACAGCTTAAATTTTGTCAAATACACGAACATTTTAGTCTTTAATTTTGATTTTTTTTAAAAAAAATAAACATAAAAAATATAGTGGATCAACATATTTTGTATAAAAAAATCGAAATGTCCTTGTATTTAACGATATTTTAATGATTTTCTTGACGGACGACCAAAAATAGTCATGTCATAATAATACTATAACCAAATGAGGATGTTGTAATAAAAAATGACTAAAAGTTGACTGCCACATATAAATTTATGACTAAAGAAATAATTATAATGGCTTGAGTTTGAGCTTGATGGAGGTAAAAAATTTAGAGTCAAGTTCATGTTGTTAATTTTTATAAGGTTTAAACTCGATTTGATTAGTTGAATTGAACTTGAGTTTAAATTTTAATTGTAATTTTATTTTCACCTCCTTAATTTTTTGAATTAAGTTGAACTAGAATTAAACTTTTAATCAAACAACTCAACTTATTTGCACCTCTATATAATATTTAGTTTTGTTGGGGACGGGATAAATTGTCATCTCTAAAAGACGTTTGAATTAAGTAATTTTAAATTATCAGTCTAGTAATATTATATTATTTTATTTGATTTAAGTTATGAGATTACTTGATAACGTTATATTACCTCAAAAGTGAATGTGTGGGGGGTTGCATGTGGATGCTGCTTCTTTTCTCCCTGGCCTCGTCTTGCAATTGGCCATCCAAAGCTATGTACGCAGCGAAACGGTCAAAGTCAGATTTCTGTGCTTCTTCCGCTTTCATCACGTGGCCCCACTCATAGCCTTCGTGGCAGCTTTCAGCTTAAAGGGACCCACCCTTAGCCTGCATGGCAGTGAAAAAGCCAACTATATATGTATATAAAACAATCTTGCCCATGGGCCGTATGATCAAGCCCAATCAATCTGGGCTGATCCGAATTTTTCAAAAGAAAATACTAAAAAAAAAAAAAAGAAAAAAAAAGGTCTGAGTGGTTTATGTCTATGGTTGAATGGAAGATTGACTGACGCCTTTGAAAGGGGTTATCTCTTGCCTAACTGGAAATTCCTTTTTCTTCATCCTTCTTAGTTGGCATATAAATTTTTATTTCTATTATTACAATAATTGCCATTATTGCATATAATATTATAAATATTTTAATTTTGAGAAGAAAAAAAAAAGTAAATAGAAAATATTTATTTTTGTTTTATAATTTTTAATTTGGATGGATGAGGGGAATTTGATGGGTGTAAGCTGGCAAAGCTCGTGCAGGCAAGAAATGATGGAATCACGTCACGTCGTGGGGAATAAATTAAAACGGAAGGGTCATTTTGGGAATAAGAAATAGGAATGATGTCACACTTTTAGAATGATCACAAGTCACGTGCCCCTGACGTGTTGCCATTGTTGGACAAGTGAACATCACGTGCATAATGCATGTTCCCCTGTGACAATGTGACATGGGGGCACTACCTTCATAGTTGCCTGTCTTTTATGTTGTCTACGTAACAACAAAATCATTTTACACTAATAAATATTAAGTCATCAAAACTGGAAATATGGGCCAGGATTCTTCAGCCCACTAAAGATGAATCAATTATTCTGCATATATGGGCCAAGATACATGTAGAAATTTGGGCCTTTGACAGATTGTGATCCAGTCAACATTTCAGTAAAAAGCCCAATGTTGCTTTCGCCCTTTAGACCAACGAAATATAATGAAAAGCTTACAATTTATTAAATTTCCTTAAAACCTACCACCTTTTTACGTTACTAATAATAAAGTTACACGGATAACAAATTTTGACCAAAATCCATCACTATTTGATATAACAATCAATCTCTTTTTATTTATAGATCATACTATAGTGACCAAAAATTGTCACCAAAATCTCTCAACATTTGTCTTCACAATATAAGTATATTCACTTAAACACTTTTCTTTTAAAAAAATAATAAAAATTATTAATAATCAATATTGCGAAGGCACTAGGCGCTAGTCGAGCACCCAAGGGCACCTAGGCGGCCAATTAATTTGAGTATATCATCTCCCTTTTTCTCATTCAGGGTTGGAATTTGTTAGACTATTATAATCTCTCAAATATGATAGATGATTAGTTGTGTATATAGTCGGCCGAGTTGGGCGCCCAACTCGGTGCCTATTCGGTTTGTTACTCGACCGACCGACTAAAAGCCACATATATAGGGATGAAATTGCCCCGGGCCTAAGGGCGCCAAGGCGGCCGCCTAGTCTGATTTTTACAGCACTATTAATTACCATGAATTGACTGATCACACCGTGAGTTATAAAAAGAAATATAACATATCTCAAAAACACCAATTCCATATAAATTGAAGGATCAAAAGTAGAGGCATCAGTAACCAAGAGATTGAATCAATAATACTTCTAAGGAATCAAATGTGTTGTTTTGCATTATAAAAACAATTTCAATTTATATATATAGTCAATTTAATTATTTTGTTTGTAGCCTTTGAAGTTTGATTTTAATCTCAAATAGTTTATTTTTTAGTACTAATCTCAAATAGTTTAATCAACAAAACACGAAACCACAAGTATTAAATCCCTAGGTATTTCATCTACTGTGGGTAATAAAATCCAGAAATACCTACCACTTCAGTTAGGAATTTAATACATATAGTTTAATTTAAATTTTAACGGATTTTATATATATATATATATATATATATATATATATATTTATGAAAAATCTACAAATGTTATTGATATATCTACATATATAGGTTCAAAGCTAAAAATCTACTATATTGATATATATCTACATATATAGGTTCGAAGCTAAAGTAATTCCCTACGAATTTCATTGACATACCTACGTAACTCCTTAAATTATTAGATATATAAAGATAATTGGGAGAAGAAGAAGATATAAAGATAATTAAATACCTACAATTTTCATTATATAGTTACACCTATTTGTTTTTGTTACGTAATAATTATGCATTAGTATGTAACTATACTCTTTTTTTTTTTTAATTAAAAAAATAAAATTTGAAACAATTGTCATTAGGATATATTCATGTTTATTAATGATTTATTTTAATTATTTTTATAATTTGATCCATATAATTTGTTTAATTTTTTGGTAAGTTTGAAAGTATTATAAGGAAAATATTAAATACATAATCCTGGATGGCTTTCATTTATATCCATACCATTTTGGCTTATGTTATTAGGATTCGTTTGAATTATATAATGCAATTAACTATCCGTAAGTATAATATAATTTTCATACAAAAATGTCACGAGTTCAATTCTTGTCAAAAAATTTTTTGTTGAGTCCATCACATAAGGTGTTTCTAGAGCAGTTTACTTCTCTTTTGTGGTTTGCAACCTATTACATAGAAGTGAAATTACCCGTAAACGCCCTCAAATAATAACTACGAATTTCTCTTGTAAAAAAATAAATAAATAATAACTATTGACTAAAAGGAAGAAATCATTATTTATTAATTATTGGTACAAAATAAATAAGAACGAACATTTCAAAGCATACAATACTTATGATCCTTATTTACCCATGCCCCAACTTATAACACTTCCCAATTATCCCATATTTCATTGTCCAAAGAAAATAAGCAAAGAAAGAAAAGTTAATCAGATTACTAAAATGTGTATTATATTATAAGTAATATACATTCTCATTATTAACCGTAATATACTGCGCTCCATTATTCAAATCAGTAAGATATCTAATGGATGAGTCAGACTTTTCTCGTTACTATTTTTCTCTTTTAATCATTTTGAAATGTAATAATATATATATCCCGCCAACTCCAAGAAGCAGAATTGGCAAGTGCACCTGGCAATTTGAACAAATTTAACCGTTACATTTTATTATTTTTCCCACAAAAGAAAAACACATAATCAGAAAAGACACAAAGATTTACTATATCTAATCTCACCATTTAATTGCATCCCTTAAGAAGAATTTCTTGAATCCTCAAATCCTCAATAGCCACCTACTAACAGCCACCTTCCATCCCACCCCTATATAAAACATGGTTTATATCATGGGCAGAAATTATAAGAAATATTAAAGAAATTAAAATAGTAGAAAACATGGATTTCTCTGATACTCCATCACTGTACTCTTTCCCCAGTGTTTATGTTTCTGACGAAGATTTCAAGCTTTTTCACAGCATTGATCGGAAGCTTTTTGCTCGGCTGGTTGTGGGGTTGGGGCGTGATCCTTCCGAGTCGCTGCAACTGATGGCGTTCTGGCTGTGGCTTGAGAACGCCGGAAATGATATGTTTCTGGTGAAGAAGGTGCTGAGTTTGCCGGCGCAGTTGGTGAGTGAGGTGGCGGAGGAGACGGTGCTGTGTCTGAAATGCGTGAAGAACGAGAATTTCCCGTTCATGGAGGTCGACCTGGCGCTGCTCCCAAACTTGGTTAGAAAGAACGGCCTTACCAGCCCGGTTTATCTTCACCACAACCGGGTCGCCGTCATGCGCGGCCTGAAAAAGATGGTGACGAAGGTCTGCTTTAGGGCTTTCGAAGACATTTTACTCCATTTCGCCCCTCAGACACCCGCCGTTTCCGCCCCCGGAAAGGTGGGGTCCACCGGCGAGCCCAGCTGGAACAACGCGGTGCCGGAGGGGCCCCACCCGCCGTTTTATCATGCACCGGCTACTCAGTTTTACCCTAACTCCCCGTACCCGTCATCTCTAGGGCAAATGAGTTATCCGCCCGCGGTTGTGAGCGCGGATTATGCTCCGCTAGTGCCCCGGCCGAAAGCAGGATCTCCTCCGCATGCCGCGGCGGCGGAGCAGCGGCCGTTGCCGCCGCAAATGAACACTGAAATGCTGGAAATGTTCAACCGTTCGATGAGAATCGCGGCGGCCGAAGACGTCCATCCCGATGACAGAACAATCTTCTTGACCTTCTCTAAAGGTTACCCCATTTCTGAACAAGAAGTAAAAGATTTCTTCTTTAGGTAAATTAAATCCCATTCTTAATTATATGTACACCCAACTTTATTTCCTTATATATCACCATATTTCACGAGCCACCCAACATTTATCCTTTTTACTGGATTTTATGATTGATATAGATATAGATTGGGAGCAATATGATGAAAGTTGACTGTATAAAGACATATAATTAATTAATGAAATACATTTAATTTTTTACTATATATATATATTTTTTGTGATTCAGGAAATTTGGAGATAGCATAGAGACCATATACATGCAAGAAGTGGCGTCTGGAGAGCAAGTACTGTACGCGCGGCTGGTGGCGCGGTCGCTTGCGGCGCTTGAGGCCATCGTCGTCGGCGGCAAAGCCAAGTATAACATCAACGGGAAGCATGTTTGGGCGCGCAAATATGTGAAGAAACAGAATCCCAAGGCTCTCGCCTCCTCCCCATCATCGCCATCGTCGCCGGCTGCTGCACCTTCTTCCTCGAAACCCTAATTTCATTGTTTCTTGTACGGAGTATCTACCTGCAGCTGCTTATATACATTATACATGTATACATATATATAGACAATGGAGTTCAGAGGAATTTGTAGGTTGTATTTTTGCGAAGTTGATTTCTTGTCTGAACAATGTTTTCAAGAAATTATACAATGTTGTTATAAATAAAAGTGCAGGAATGATGATTTCATTTATAAAACATAATGCCCTTTTGGACATTCAATTTTGATTTCATTTAATATACAATTTTCTATATTTTTTTTAATTAGACCCATATTCTTCTTAGTATAATTAAGTTGCTACCATATTTGTATAAATATTATAAAAACAGTAGGGCGACTACTCCACACGCACTCTTAATATTACCGAGATAGGAAGTGGTCATGGTGACAATCGTTATATTATAAACTGTGATCTAAGTTATTAACATATAATACACTAAACATAAGTGTCTAAATATTATTAGATTTGCTCATCAATTATTTATTTATAGGAAGGGGACACCTAATTACATCAAATGTCTCCCACTGAAATTCGAACCTATCACCTCTCACATAGGGAAGTAACGTGGGACCATTTGATTACAAGGTTTTTGGTCCGGTCCAATATTTTTAGATTTGTTCAATATCTCGCCTCGTTTCACATTTTTAGATTGATATATAGTTTCGTCCGGTCCACTTTAAAATATTAATAAAAATTTAAATTATTAAGTTAGAAATTACAATTTACACTTTTTAAAAATTTCAATTATAATCATAGAATTTTAATTTTAATACATATTTGTGTAATTGTTAAATAATATATTGTTAATTTATATTTCTAATTTAAAATTTGAAAATTAAATTTAATACAATTTATAAATTTACAATATATATATCATTATTAAATTTAACCTAGCCATTACATACGTACATACTTTACAATGCCCCAACCTGTATCAGATAAAGGGTGGTCCAACACAAACACAGTTATCCTGTATATAATTGTGATATTAATTAGAATTCTTAAGTAAAAATTGAGAGTACATATAGTATTTTCCTTATTAATTATCATTGTTGTTGTCGGTGTTGTCCTCAGTGGTGCTGGGGCGCGAGATAGCTTGGTTAATTAAGTCGTCAATAGCAGAATCTATAGCAGAAGCAAGAAGTTGTGCAATAGCAATCCTGAGGGCGAGTTCCAATGCCATGGCGTAAACCAGATATGCGAGGATGGGGAAGCAGACCAGACCCACGACCGTGACGCTAATCCAGAGGCGAGTGTACGAGGAAGAATGGGTTAGAACAGCGTACATCCAAATAGCCAATGTAAGAGCCGCCGTGGCCCAACTTAAGGTCCGCAGAGAAAGCAGCTTACTGGAAGGCAGTGGCTCCAACTGCCATCTCACCGCCATGTAAACGCACATCGCCGCAATACAACATACGAAACAAAACAGAACCGCCAGAAAAGCTGCTTGTCGGATCATAACCGGCACCTCCCTCACAGGGTCCCTTCCCACGATGTAACCCACAGCAAATACTAAGGCCGCCATTGAAGGTACCAGGATTCTATATGGCATATTTTCCTTTAGCATCTCCATTTCCACCTCGTACAATCTGCTGTTGTCGGTTTCCGCCATTTTTCTCGATGATATATATGTATATTATCGATCGATCTCCCGTATATCCTTCGCTAATGCTGATTATTATGTGTATATATAATAACCACCGGTATGGTAGTTCCGCGGGCGCATAAAAGATAAATTTTCTTGTAATTAAGCTAAGGCATCCCAGAATTGAAGAAACCTAGCTAACCGCCATGTTTACTTGTTCTTTTCCGACATAAGGACTAAGGAATCTCATATATATTCCGATCCTATACGTGAATTAATTAACTAACACATAATAATACATTAATGTTACGATTTACATTTTACGCACAGTATTCTGTATAGTATAGACTGATTATGTATGTATTTTATTTCCAAATCAATATGAGAGTAATGGTTAATTCCCCAATATTATCAATATTTATTTTCTTTATTTTAACAAAATACAAAATTGATCATAGCCCGCAAAGGATCACAAAGATAATAAATAGGCCGCTTACGAAATCAACCGTCTAACAAACTTGACTGATTGCTCCATACTAATTATTGAAACATTATAGTTTTGTCCTTAAATATAAGTCACTAATGACAAAATCATATAGGTCCGATACAAATTAAAATTAAATGTGGTAAAGATTTAAAGTAGTAAAATCAAATATTAAAAAAAATAGTGGAGACCACATGTTGAAATTATGTCGGAATAACCAAATGTGTAAAGATCAGATTTAAAAATTTAGTATTAAATTATGAATATTTAATTTAAAAGTTTAACAATTAGCTAGCTAGATAGTATATACTCCAGGCAAATATAACAATCCGTATTGTTACAGATATCTTCAATTCGCAGGTATAGTTATATTACAACATATGACTCCAGGTCAATTCATTGAATCACTGACGAGGAGAGATCGAGGAAGCAGAGCAGACCCACTGCACGACGGTGACATTTTCACATCGCCGGCTAATATGTCCGCCGTGCCATTTATAATTTTTACCTATCTAGTTAGCTAGATGAGACAATATATATATGTCACTGTCACATTCCATGTCCTATATATGGTGTACGTTTTTACTTTAAATTTATTTTTGTTACGCTAATAGTTTCAAAATTTTAGTGGCTAGAGGTGATAATTTATAGTGATGAGTCACCTTGTCAATCTTCATCATCTCTGATCGGTGAAGGTCTCTTAATAATTCCTCAGGTTTTCAGTTGTCAGAATTAGAACCCCACATTGCCTCTGATCTGGAGTATAGAGTGATGATTGAATCAAATGATGAGCTAGCTAGCTAGCTTCGCGGAGCAATAATTTATTTCACTCCATTTTGACGTATATGTAATTTTTTTTTTTTTAATTTTTGGAGTGATGAGGACAATCTGTCATCACTATCTAGCTAATTGTGTGCACCGGTTAAATCCACCATTGTGACCCTAGTTGAACCGAGCTAAATCAATATAAGTTATCCATAGACCATAGTTGTTCACTTGTTCGGGCAAATTATGCTGTGCATCCGTATGATTATCCATAGACCATAGTTGTTCACTTGTTCGGGCAAATTATGCTGTGCATCCGTATGCATCATACGGATGCAAAAACGACGTCGTTTTATTAAAAACGCGCGTCTCCCTTTAAAAAAAAATTCAGGTTCGATTCCCAGCAACAACATATGAACTAAAATTTTAGAATTGATGAACTATAATTCCAGAATCGATAAACTATAATTCCATAATCTATGAACTAAAATTCCAGAATCTAATCTATGAACTAAAAATTCCAGAATGAATGAACTAAAATTCCATAATCTATGAACTAAAATTTCAGAATCGATGAACTACAATTCCAGAATCGATGAACTAAAATTCCAGAATCAATGAACTAAAATTCCATAATCTATGAACTAAAATTCCAGAATGAATGAATAACATAATGTTGTTGCTAGGAATCGAACATGAATTTTTTTTTAAGGGGAGACGCGCGTTTTTAATAAAACGACGTCGTTTTTGCATCCGTATGCACCATGAATGGTGCATACGGATGCACAGCATAACTATCCGGTTGTTCGGCTCAAACCAAGAAAACAAATACAACATATTTGATGTTACCTTGAAAACACAAGAACTTAAAAAATATAATTTAATATTTTGAGTCTAGTAATTGAATTTAATTAATTTTTTTGTATGACCAGAAGCACCATATCTCTTGTATACAATTTGATAGTGATTACAAATTTCTCGATCTAATCATCTAAATCTCTAGTCATTTCAAGAAAAAAAAAAGGGGGGGGGGGGGGGGGGGGGAATAATGGGACAACATTAATACTAATAATGAAGAGGTAGCTATAAATGCATATATGATTAGATAAATATGAATAACACTTGGAGGGCATAATTTGTACATTGTTAATAAAACATAAGAAAATAGAAAACATAATACACCATATTAAATATCATTAATCAAAGAAATTAAACAGTTAATACATACACAACATTCTTCCAAGGCGACTCAGCTGAAGGACCATAGAGGTTAGAGTGAGCAAAGGAGCCCCTCACTTTGAGAGAGGGCCGCTGATGAGACTCGATCCCTGGTCATTCTTCTAAAATTTTATCTCTATGACCAGTTGAGCTACTAAGCGGACATATACATACACAACATGACAACACAACTCGAACATACATTTTAACTTCTTTATTTATTTATTAATATTTATGAGTATATGAGTGAATTATTGATTAATGTTAATATTAATTGGTATGCTGGGTATCGTGTGGTTGAGTCTGAGAAGGGTTAAGAAGGTGGCCGAAAATGGCTGCTAAACCAATCCCCAGAGCCAGGCGATATGCCCTGACGAAAACAGCAAAGCCGAAGAGGAGGAAGCCGGCCAGGCCGACGGCGGCGCCGGCAACCCAGAGGTGAGTGTAACCGGGAAGGGTTAAAACGGCGTACATCCTGACAACGAAAGCAAGCGCCGCCACCGCCAGAACTAAGGAAAACAGCGACGTGTCGTGAAGTTTCCAGGAAGATGTCGCTTCTCTTCTGATGACGATGTAAGTGAACATCGACGCGATGCAACATAGAAGCGAAGAAACAAATGCCGCGGAGCCTGCTTCATATGTTAAATCAGGCGCCGCCGCCGCTGCCACCTCGCCGGCGGGATTATTGCCGTCGTCGATGCACCTTCCCGCGGTAAAACCACCTGCGAAGGTTAACGTTGCTAGCATAGTAACCGCGACCGTTTGTTTTCTACCGGCGGCCGCCTTTATCCTCTTGAACAACGTGTCGTTTTCCTGCGTGGAATTGTTGACGATGCAGATTTCCGCCATTTTTATCTAGCTTAATTAACTAGTAAACGCTGTGATTAAACTTGTCTTATATTAATTTGATGATGTTGGGTATATATATATATATACACACTATAATTCGATCCAGTATTTTAACGGATGCATATCAATGGTATAAAAGCTAGACTTTTCTTCCAAGGGATCTTAGAATCATAATCATGTTTACTTGTTCTTTTCCGACATATGGCCTAAGGTATCATATGTATAATTCATCCGTGCGAATTAATTACTCGCCACATCAGAAAGTAAAATTGAGAGACTAAAAGGTTCCTGTCTTAGTGCAAGTTAAGGTTCCAATTCCTTCTCCCAAAGGTTGAATCTCCAACCCCAATGGCTCCCTACACCCCAACTCGACTGAGTCACTGAGCATTTGGAAAAATGTAAATTACTATGACTCAATAGTTCAGCAGACATGACCAAATACCAGTGCTCACAAGAGATCTGCCCACTTTGGGCATAATTCTCACACTGCCAAGGTTCAAACTTTGGTCTTTTCTCCCAAATACTGTCTACTAGTACTAAAACCCCACTAGTTTGCAATTGTTAGGTCTGCTTCATGATCCCAAACAGTATGTTAAAAAATGAACAAAAAATTGAAATAGTCATCCATATTAGGGTTCTAATAACAAGTGCATGCTCGTGTGTGTATTTAACGTCCAGAACGCAAACTACCAAAAACACAAAAAAATGAAGGTTCTGTACTGAGCTTGGCCATAGCATCTGGCATTCAAATTACAGTCTCCATCCCTTTGAGCAAAACGTGTTAACTTGGACGAGAAGTCGAGAACTGCATATGCATCTATGAGTTTACACAACATATCGATAGGTAACATACTGCCCTGCAGTCTCACTTTGCCTGATAATTTTCACCACTTGCCCACGCTTTAGCCCATAATATCTCGCCACAGAGTCTGTCACCTGGATACGAGGTAGCTGTTCCGCCAGCCACAGTATATAAAAAGTGAGAGTGATGCAGAAGAAACTATAAAGAAATGTAAAATTATCACACAAAGAACTAACCTGTGTTTCTTTCACAGTGTATCGATCGAGTAAGGTCTTCTTTTCCTCGGTCGTAAGCAGCTTGTGCTTGGGAACAAGAACGTGCTTTGATATGTTGACCAATAATTCAGCCTCCTGCAAGATTGCAGCAATTAAAGATCAGTCTGGCTGGACTATACTACTTCACTGTGTTTCAGTCTTCTTGATCATACAGATTATTATGCCTATATTCAAGAATGGCCGCTTGAATTATAAAATAGAGGTTAGTGTAAAACATATTCACCAAATTCCCAAAAGAGATAGCTAACTTGTCTTCCATGGAATACAAGAATTTTGTTAAATAAAGCATCCATTTCAATCGAGATTCATGCAAACATTTCAATGAACTTTTCCTTCTTTCTTTTGTTTTGTGTACTGTGTAGTGTGGTGGGGTGGGGGGCATAAACACTCCCATCTTGTGTGGTTTACTCCAAATTCTTACCCTCATAGTTTCATATGTGCAGGAGACAATACAAAGAGATGATGAAAGAAATAAAATAATGCTCCAAGAGGTAGAGAGAGCAACAGTTACCAGGAAAACCTCAATGTAAAATCTTGAAGATATTTCAGCTACGCAAGTACGAGCAAATGGAGTCAAATGCTGTTGGACAACCAAGATTGCACTCAAAACATTCTCTGATTTCATGCGATCGGTAAATGTTTTCACTGTCTTAACACCAACCTTGCTCTCCTCCGGAAAGAACACAAATATCTGGATCACGAATTTCAATTACTATAAGCAAGAAAGAAAGAGACAAATACATAGGCAAGGGCAAGGCATTCTAAAACTATAATACAATTTTGAAATGAACTGACAAATCAGTCAAGAAAGCATATAAATCCTTGGGTTTGATGTCAATGACTCTTTTAACACAGAGATAATACAGATAAGGGGCAACCCTAATCGAGTTGATCAGATAGTTATTCATAACCACAAAGTTAAAGTTCCAAATTCAACTCACATAGTAGCTAATGACTTTCTTAGTGATAGGCTATGAACAATTTAGACTGATTTAGATTTTATGACCATTTGCCGGTTAGGATCAAGATCATATTCACCTTCGAGTAGGTGTTGTTTGCGGGCTTTTCAGGAAATCAAATTAAAGATAATACAATGATACAAAAACTACAAGTAACTTGAAGATACTTGTTCACCATTTTCACCAATCTGACTCGCATTAACTATCTGATTATAGACTGTTCTCCATTCAAACATAAACAAGTGAACAAAATATACCTGATCAGAGCCTCCATTGATCTTTGCCTTCTGAATTACGAGGTCCTCTCTTTTCATATGCTCACCATACTTCCCAATGAAGTCCTCTCTGCTCTGTTCTATCTCAAAATCGAGGACCAAGTAGCCCCTATCTCGCAGCATTTGCATCACAGTCTTGTGAGCTCTGAACAGCCTCGTAATCTCCTCGTCCGAAAGAGTCATCTTCGCGCTGCTTAATCTAACACGTTTCAACAACAAAAATTAGTTTTGTTTTCCATTATAAAATACGCGAAAAAAAAAAAAAAAAAAACTATTTCGTGAATATATACACAGACACATCTTCTTGCACATATAAAAATGAAAGGAGCTTTCGCCCTTTGTTCTGCGTGCATATAGCGATAGAGAGAACGGAGGCGTACCCGGAGAAAATGGCCGAAAGCAGAGGTTTGGCGCTGCGGAGGGAGAAGCGAGGTTTTAGCCGGTGGCCGAATTATATAGATTTCTTTCCAAAAGGTTAAATAGGGTTCTACACATTGCCACTCATGAGACTTATTCCTAATCATCATCATTATTCTTTTTAAATTTTAAGCTTTTGATCAGTTGAGCTGTCATACGAACTATATAAATTTTAACCGACATTATTTTTTTTAGTAATTATTACAATGAGTTAATTTTCAACTCTTTTCAAAATAGTCATCCCATTATAACATTTTTTCAAATTGGTTTCTTGACTTTTAATTGCACTCAAAGTGTTCCTCTGACTATTGAATTTTAAGTCAAAATGGTCATCCGTTAGCTTTGGTGTTAACCTGCCGTTAAAAAGAAAGGCAAAAGGGACAATTTATATTATTTGTTGTTTAGACATTTGACCAGCTCTTTTAAAAAAAAAAAAAAAAAAAAAAACTTGACCAACCGATTTCTTCCCATCAAAACAATTACCCCAAATCCCCAAATTAAACAATAAACCTATTTTCTCCTTCTTTCCAGCGAAACGATTCTGCCAAATTGCGACCAACACGAAAAAAAATAATAAACATGGCAGTTTTAAAAATGAAAAAATAGGTTTATTGTTACATGCTGGTCGCAATTTGACAGAATCATTTTGCTGAGAAGATGGAAAAAATATGTTTATTGTTTAATCCCGGGGATTTGGAGTAATTGTTTTGCTGGGAAGAAATCGGCAAGTTTTTTTTTTTTTTTTTTTTTAAAAAAAAAAAAAAAAGGCTGGTCAAAGGTCTAAACAACAAACAATATAAATTATCTCTTTTGCCCTTCATTTTAACACCCATTTAACACCAAAGCTAACCGTGGACAATTTTGATTTAAAATTCAATAGTTGGAGGACCACTTTGAGTGCAATTAAAAATCAAAGAACTAATTTGAAAAAAAAAAAAAATCGAATGACCATTTTAGAAATTAACTCTCATTACAATGCTCGCCTAATCCTTTTGGACATTATAAATGTTTACCCTCTAAATTTTGTGTCCATAATTCATATTATTTTAGTATTATTGACTTTGTTATAGTGGAGTATTGTTCATAATTGCTTTCTCAATCTACTAAAATATAAAGAGTCGATATTACCCCCACCAAGGCTAGAACCTATAATCTCTCATTTGAAAAAGAACCTATAATCTCTCATTTGAAAAAGTTCTGGGCAATAATTCTTAATTTAGGCAGACAATTATCTGTATAAGATAAATAACCACTCGTATATAAGTTATTTTACTGGTCCACTCTCTGGACGTTAAATTTATAAACACTCTCTGGACGTTAAATTTATAAACATTGTGATTACTGATAATTTTTGACATAGTAATAAATGTTTAAGTGAAAGATGAAATACAAAGCACAAGCCTTTTTTTTTTCTTGTCCAATATATAAAATTTGCTTCCCATTATTTGTATTTGTTGTTACAGCTTTTATTACAAGTGTTGAGTGCTATGCCCATAGAATTTAATCAATATTTGCATAAGAACTGTAACAACTGCCAGGAGAACGCCCAAAGTGCTGAACCTTGGAAGAATTTCATTGCCCATATAATTAGCTAGCAGACATGCCAAAGGTACAACCACCTGGATTTAAAAAAAAATTACAACTTGCAACCAACAATGTAGGTAGAATTACGCGAACAACCTCAACCAAATTGGTCACACTCAAACTGACAAAGTTTCAAATTCGATTCTCCAACCGTGAGAGCTATTTAATAGTCTTCTTGATTTGAGCTGATCAACTATGAAGAATGTGGAATACTACGATTGAAATGAAACTTTGGGCATCTGATCAAATTATGATTATGATGCAAACGTTTTCTGAATCCTCCCTCAAATACAGCCAGCCAGTATGGAGAGAACAAGTTTAGAAATGAGATGTCTGTCATACATGTTTGGCAAGAATGGCCTCAACCATTCCCTTTGCAATGGGGTGATAGCATCCACAGGCATCTGAAAATATCCTTCTAGCAACACCTTTCTCCTCTTCCTGTACAAGTGCAGTGTAGAGCGGGCGAAGGTACTTCATCCTCCCAACTTCCTTCAAAGTTTTTTCAACTTCGCTGTAGTAATCTCTGCACCTTGCTGAGATTGCCAGCTGAAGGAAAGCAACTCTCACCTCGTAATCTTTTGATTCTGAAAGCCTATAGCAACCATCTAAAGCTTTGATCTGAAAACAACATTCATGTAAAGCTCAATCCCGTAAAATAAATAAATAAATGATTGGTTTAAAAGTAGGCAAACCTGTGAAGCTTCAACAGATTTGGGTAGGCTCTTCAGGTAAAGCTCCCATTCCTGTCCCCGCCAATCACAAACTTCATCCTCCCTTGGAATCTTACCTAGATTGAATTCATTGGCCAGAGAAACAATCTTCGAGTAGATGTTGGAAACTAATTCCATGGCATCTGGAGGGAGGCCAGTACCCTCAGTCCACAGCTTCAGATCAATCTCATTCTCAATCCCAGGGATATTTTCTTTCAGGAAATCAAGAAACATATCAGTGTCAATAGACTGAAACTTGAAGGTGGCTATGTACTTCTTAAGAAAATCATCAAAAGCCGGTCTTCCAATCTGAGCATTTAAAATGGAATAACATTTTAGGTTCTTTCCCATCTCAATAATATGCTAAATACTCAAGAGGACAGCAATTTTCTTACTTGTCTCTCAATCCGCCATAAAAACTGGAAACCTTTATCATATGGGACTCGAGAATATACGTCATCCGGGTCAATCCCCGCCTGGTTCATTTTCAGTTTCGTGAATTCCAGGTTGCCCTTGAATCTTTCCATTTCATCAACAAGTCCCTTCCAGCCAAGTGCAATACTTAGTGCAGCTCTGTTCTCCCCTTGCACTGCCTCTACAATTCTCCGCTCTGCATACGTTGTCCAACCCTGGGAATCACAAGAATTCATTTTATCTATTTGGCTGTAAAGAAAGGAGATGAGTGAAACTAGATAATTCATAACATTCCATAGTCCTGCTGCAAAGGGAAAACAGAATTCACAGCAATTCCCAGGATAAGCATAGTTTATTGCTAAAGATCCTAACTTTCATGTATAAAAATGGGGAAAATATTAGGTTTATAAGTGTAAGAATCGAAGAGTACCTCGTTCAACCAAAAGTGGTTATTATTTTTGTTAGTGATCAAATTTCCAGTCCAGCTATGAGCGAGCTCATGAGCTACCACCTGAGCTCCACTGGCATCGCCTTTGATCACAGTGGGTGTAAGGAAGACCATCCTAGGGTTCTCCATTCCTCCATAGGGGAAACTTGGAGGCAAAACCAATAAATCAAATCTTTCCCATTCATAAGGTCCAAAAAGGGCCTCTCCAACCTTGATCATCTCCTCTGTTTCTGCAAATTCCTTGGCGGCAGCATCCAACACCGTAGGGGCAGCTTCTGAATAGACTCTCGTCCGTGGCCCCACCTCCCGGAACCCTAGTTCCCCAATTGCGAAGGCAAATAGATAAGGAGGAATCGGCTGTTCCATCACGAATTCCTCCACGACCCGGTGATCTCCGCACCATTTTGCATCCTCACACACTCCGTGAGCTTCGGCCGGCAGCGGGGGCCGCCTTCCCACGTGCTTGGCGGACATCACCGCCGACAGCTGGCTTGGGAGGTTCAGTTTCGCCGAGTATTTGATTCTGGCGGCCGGGGTGTCCTGGCAGGGGAAAATGGACCTGGCGTGGATGGACTGACATTGGGTGTAAACAAACGGGTGGGTTTTGTTAAAAGTTTGCGGCGGCGAAAGCCACTGGAGAGCTGAGCTAGAGGGGCTCGTTTTCGAGAGCACCAACACCTGAGCTTGGCCCGAAAGTGAGACGGTGACTGATTGCCCGATCACTGGGTCCGGCAGGGACGGAGAAAGGGAGAAGGGGAGCGGCGAAAGTGAAACTGGGTCGAGAACGGCGGAGATGGAGAGGGAACGGGTGTCAAGAGTGAGGTCGCCGGAATAAGGGGCGGCGAGGGAGAGGAGAGTCGCAGCAGAGATAGTTGAGGACGGGAAATCAAAGTAGAGAGTAAGGGAGATATGGACAGTGAAGGGATGAGCAGAGTCCGTGAAAGAATGGGGATCAACGGGCGCCATGACTTCGGTTTTGCAAGGACTTCTACACAAAACTGGATTTTTGGAGTAGCGAAGAAGACGATTGCTTTTTTCTAAAATTTACCGTCTTGGAGGGTCAAGACCGCAGATGCATAAATATATGAGATTTGAGAATAATTGACACTTCCTCAAAAAAAAAAAAAAAAAAAATATTTGACACGTAAATTAATGAATCAATCAAGCCTTTAAAAGATGCCATCAATCCCAATTAAAAAGTCTGAGAATTTTTGCAGAGTAAGAAAGAAAGATGCCTGACACTAATTTAGTGAAAGAGTGAAGAAGAAAAGGAGAATGAAGAAGGTAAAGAAGGTGCACTTATTGAGGAATCCATTGATATATCAATATATTACAGTTTTAGAGATAAAATGCCCCCTTTTCCATCTTTTATTCTTGCTTATGAACTAATCAAGTAACCAGTCAAGCCTTTAAAAACAAAAACAAACACGAGCAGCTCAGTTCGTTCCCGGTAAAAGATTGTGGCCAAGGACAAGACAAGCCTTTAAAAAATGTATGGATACAGGAACGCAGAAATATCTGGAGATTTGAGAATATTAGTGGAGAAAGATGTCTGGAACTGATGTAGAATAAAGGTAAAGGAGGTGCACTCTTTTAAGGAATCCAACAAACAAACTAGTGAACCCAGGTAGCTTTGCCAATGGCCTACTAGGATTTTCGGCTTTTCTTTTCTTCAATTCCTGACTGTGAAAACCTCTGCCTAAGTACTTGGAGAACTTCTTCAATTTTCACTCCTCTATTAGCCAGCAGAACCATGGCATGATAAAGCACATCTGCTGCCTCTGATGCAGTGCGAGATTTGTCCTCATTTTCCTCCAACGTTCGGCATAGCTCATCAGCCTCCTCCCTGCACGAAATGATGCATAATTGCATACACGAGAATGTATCAGATGTGGATTATCTGGCGGCTAACTGTTTACTACTAGTGAATATATCTAGCTAAATATTTTATCACGTAGGCATTTACTCAAGACATTAAATAAATCACAATTAACAAGTGTAGTAAAGCACATTACCGAATTTTTGAGCAAAGTAACTTATCATCAAGCAATAATCGCTTTGTCCACGAGGGTTTTCCATTTGTTGGTATTTCATCTTTTCTTTGATGGATTGTAGATTCTAATGAGTACAAAGTTGTGAGTGCCAACTTACTCTCTTCCACCTACCACAAATAAGAACATGTTTTTGAGCATCTCCAGGATGAAGAGAAAACTGCCAACAGATGATGAGACCCAAGTTGAGGATAAAGCAGTGTATGGTGAAGACAGAACCTGTGTATTGTTCAAGGCATCATAAACTGATGTATAATAACAAGTCTCTGAGCCCGTGTGGCAAGTTGGTCCGTCAGGTTTCCCTAGATATATAATCTGAAGAAAGTTCTTACTAGGTCATGCTGATGAAGAAGAAGAAGAAGAAGTCAAGATGGAGAATTCACTGCCAATAAAGAATTTTCTGAACTTACAGAGTCACGATCACAATCGAGAAAGATATCGCAGACATTGATGAAGTTCATAGAAGTCTCTCCCTTAGTCCACAAAGCAGACCGTGACCGGCTATAGAATGTAGCTTTTTTAGACGAAATGGTCGTTAAAAGAGCATCCCTGTTGGCAAAGCCTTGCATTAGAACAGCTCCGGTGTCAATATTTTGAGCTATTGCCACTGCCAAACCTTTGTCGTCCCATTTGATACCATCTAGTAATAGACCAACCTAGAATGCCCACATCACACTTTCAGCCATGTAAAGGAAAGGGAACATGATATTGAAGGGTGAACTTGCTAGTATTTCAATTATACCGAAACAAAGATATTTAGGAAGCAACTAGCCAAACAGAATTATTAATGAGCAAAATATGCATATTTAGGAAGCAACTAGCCAATTACATCAGTTTCCAGCTAACATCAGCAAAGTGCAGCTCTTGCCACAACAGATAACAGCTCCTCTCATCCACAATGATAGATAGACTTACATGTGGAGTCCAGATGTGGCCCAAATAATTAGAAAAGTTATTGAGCATTCATGGACACTTCAAGAGACTTTAAATGATTAATAAGGACTCCACCCATCACATTTAATTACCAATCCTGTTTTTTAACTGGCGTTACAGCACTCCAATATGCAGACCATAGACAAATCACAAATGACAGTGTCTCATAATCATGTACAAGAAGTGATGAAGATCAATCACATATAAGTAGATTTTTTGCCCATTAGATGGCACTTGTATACACTTTTTAAACAATTAAAAAAAACAATCTTAGATACGCAACAAGTGGGATGGGAATACCTTTGTTTGAAGATCTTGATCAGACTTCTTGATGCATGAAAGCACATTGTGCTGCCTGTTGCTCTGCCAGCCACTAGAATAAAAAAGATTGCATCTTGATGCAACTTTACCGGGCCTAAAGCAACAAGAATGTGGAAGTGCCATTATTGTTTCGGTCCTGGAAATTCTATCCAGGTCAGCCTCAAGTAGAGAACCGCATAATTTACCATCATTAACACGGCAACAAGAATATAGCATGACAGATAACAATCTTAAAAAGCTTAAATAAAGATATACTATAGTCATCAAACATTTCCCAGCAAAAAGTGCAATAATTCAAAAGATTTCTGCTTTCCTGATACAATTGGGGAAACTATTTCCAGTCTCAGATAAATTCAACAAATTGTTCGGATTACTATATACCAATCATATAAAACCAGTAAATCGCCTTCTCCATATCACTTAAAGCATGCAATTAAACTGACTACAATAAGCAAAACAAAATGCATAGTCACCAACCGTGAATACAAACGGGCATATACATTCAGAGAAGGCTGACCTTGTGAATCGGAAGAGAAGCGGAGAGGTCAGAGGCGATGGAAGTTGAGCTGCACTGCAACCCTAGCTCACCGGTTAGTTCTTTTTAGATGGTGGATAGTGACTTCATAGTTAAACGGATGAATATCAGAACCAAGAAAATGAAAATGTGTACTGCGCATATCCTGGCGGAACAAAAAGCAAAGGGATTCTCCTATTGTATGGCCCTGTTTGGTTAAAATAATAATAATTTATTTTTGAAATGCACCAATTTGATTCAACTTTTTAAGAAAAGTAAATAAGTTATTGGTTTTTAACCTTTTTTTTTTTTAATATTATTAATTATTTTTATTTAATTAAGTTTGTGAGTACTATTGACTTTATTATATTTTATTTAATTAACTTAATTTTACTTATATAAATCTTTAAAATAGTGATTGTGATTTTTATATTATTAAAAAAAAATGTTTCCCAACATTTTTTTGTTTACAAATTACTATTAAAAATAATATTTTTGTAATCTTTTAATTGTACCCAACTTTTGTAAGTAATAGAAGAATAAAAAATAAAAAAAAGTGACTAGCAAAAAGTGCTATTTCTCATGTAATTCAAAGACTAAAGGTATTATTTTCTCAATAAAAAATTACAAAATGTAAGTTACAAATAAATAAAAATATATGAGGACAATATCAACGTTGATGGAATAAGTTAACTTGATAATTAAAGATTCTAAATTTGACTTTTCGAGACACCAAAGGCCGCCGGTTGTTTTTTTTTAAATAAAAAATATATTATTCATCCATTGTTTATTTGTCACATCTTACAAGAATAATACACTTCTAAAAGAGAGAACTCAATAATTGAAGCAGTGCTTATACAAATGGGAACCAAAACCAACTTTTCATTTCCCCTCTGTTGACCCATATATCTTCTCTAAATCCCCAGATGAAATGGCAGTGAGGGGGGAATGACACACAGGAAAAAACAAGATTCATCTGCTTAATCAATGGTTAAGGTGAATCTCAGTTTTCATCAAATTCCTCTGAAAAAACAAAACAAAACAAAACAAAACAAAACATTCTGGCATCATTATGTCCACCTTTTACACCTTCTCTTGTACAGGACTTGCCTCTGCATTCTCCTCTTCCTCAGTTCTTGGGCTCTGGTCCTGCCTTTCTTGTTTATCATCACTTTTCACATCTGCAGAACCGGGACTTCCCTGTTGAACCAAGATCTAGTTAGTTGCCTAAATCCCGGGGACTCGGGGAGAAAACCCACAAAATGCATGCATATATAGGTTATTGTAATCACAACCACTGATGCATACTGTAACAAACGTTGTATTGATCGATCCATTGAAGCAGAACATGCTTAATAACTGACCTTGTTCCTGTCACGCCATCCGAGTCCAAATGGTCTAGATAGCAAACTGACTCTTCTAGGCTGAAATTCTTGCGCGGATTCTTGATTAGTTTGTGCACCAGGAGAACCGAGGTTTGTGGTTCTATCAAGGTACGTGCCAAAGAATTGGAACTACATTAAATTCTATTCGTCTAAATATGGCAGAAGATAATATTGATTCTTTACTATCAGAGCATACCGTGGGGAGGGTTGTGGGGAGGATTGTGCTCGGCTTTGTCCAGTTTGGTACTGCAAAGTCGCCTCCAATATTGATTCTGCCATAACCGCTCGTTTTTCCATCTCAGCTAGTGAACCCATGGCTTCTTCATACTTATCCTACAAAGTTGTTGCACTGGTTCGTAAACAATGCAGTACATAGATCATTTCCCAGTATAATATCTAATAGTTCGATGATTTTAGTCGAAAACTTTCAATAATTAGGAAAAACATTACATAGATAGTGTTACTAACTTTTGGTGCTAAATTATAATCATCTTACTAACTTTAGTGTTAACAAATATATTTGCAAATTACATAGATAGAAGCAAACATGCTATACCAGTCGTAGAAATGCCTTGGCGAATCAAAGAAAATGGTTTATGACATTTTAAAGAGGAAATAAAACCTGAAGCATTTGAACAGCGTATCTTTGAGCAGCTGCATCTTGTTCAGCAAATCTCCGAGCATCTTCTGTCTCCTTCTGTTCTTGTTCGACCCTCATCAATACCTGAGAAAATTAGCGTGGAAACCAACAAATTAAAAGGTCAAATAACGGAAGGAAGAAAATCCCCAGCTATGTTGCATTTAACAGAAGTAAAAGAATTCTCACCTGAAGCATGGCATTCTCTTCTTCTTGTTTATGAGCAAGAGCCTGCTTGAGCTCTGCAACATCATGCTCTAATTGCTCGGCCTGAAGCCATAGAAAGATAGTAATCGTGTTTCATTTAACCAGAGAGTAAGAAGTCAAAGATTTATGTTTTTTTATAAAAAATAATAATAATAATAATAATAATAATAATGACTTACCCTTGCACTCAATTGTCGCCGGTTATCCTGCTTTACCATCTCCATTAATGCTGTTTCCAATTCCTCACCTCTGTACTCAGAAAAGACCAATTTGAACATCATGGTTTATAATGTCGCTTACATTGTTGGTTTGGTTTACATAAAGTAATTCAGGTAAGGGCTCTCTCTATAGTTTAAGCCAGAATCTATAGTCAAATTAGAGAGTATATGATAACTTTACCTGAGTTCAGCAGATCTTTTTTCCTCGAGCAACTTGCTTAACTCAACCTTTAGCCACTTTACCTGCTCTTCAAGATCAGTTCCAGAATTTTTCGTGTTCCCATTCATGCTCACGTATGCTTCATCCACATTAGCCGGTACTAGATCCTGAGAATCCCTCCAGCCTTTTATCCCTTTAGATCTCTCTTCCAATGCAGCCTTAACGGTTGACCGATATTTACTTCTTAGTTCTTGCAATCTGGCTTCCTTGACATTTTGATAGCCCATGCAGGCCGTCAAAACAAGTTGACTGCTATCAAATGTGGAGCCAGCAAGCGACTGTAGCAGAGTGACTGCATCTCCTGCATCCTTTGTCGTCACCAAGGCAGGTCCTTTACAAGATTCAACAAATATAAGTTCTCGCTTCAAAGCAACCCAAAAGGGAAAGTGAAGTAATTGATGCTTATGAACTGAAATATTACCATATAAATCCATTAAAGCCAGTGCAGTTCGAAATAGCATTACTCGATTCCCTTCAAACAAAAGCACATCCCATACTCTAAGAACTGCAAGCCATTAAGAACTAATCAGATATAGCTAATTATGACTTACGAGTAAGATAAGCCAACAGCAAATGAAAAGAATCAGAGAACTGAAAAATAATATATGTATATGTAGATATATAGCATGACAAGATAAAGATCATGACCACTTTCCCAAGGAAGTACGTTCATAAATATGGAGAGGAACCATGGTCCAGTGATCCATTGTATTTGCACTCCCAGGTAATCTAGATGATTAACTGCAACAGAGTAAAGATCCAAGAAACCAGGAAATATGATTAGCAATAAAAATAGGTAGAAATCTGGACACTTGGACGGGTTGTAGAAACAAGGGACAAAAAAAGACGAACCTAACTTTGGGAATTTCTCACGCACCAATTCCTCAAGAACACGTTGGTCAACCTGACCAAGCAAAAAGGAAAAAAGTAAAACATCTGCTGTCTATTTATATTTTTTTGTCACCCACTTCATTTAAATATGAAAGAGGAACGTAAAGGACTAAAGGGTTGTATAGTAACTAGTAACTAATTTGCATGCATAAACCAAGACTTGAATTTTACCTGAGACTCTATCATCTCTTCTGAGTAATAGCCATCAAAACAGTCATCTAGAATGCCAATCAAAGTCCTGAAAGTTCAATTTACGTTTAGACCACATTAAAACAAACTGAGCTAAGCCTGAGATAGTGCTTTTTGCTATATAAAGTATTGTTCAAATACTGATAAAAATGATATTCCATGAAATGAAGAAAAAAAAAAACACAATTTTTTCCTTTGCAGGACTAAAGTAATCCTCACTCTTAACAAGGTTAGAGTTTGGGTGGCCTCTAGTTTGCAAAGTTACACATGAAGTACTTCATGTGGTTTTCCAAATAAAGAAGAAATATAATGCTTACTTGTTCTTCCAAAGTTACCCATGGAGACCTAATAAAATACAAATCTCAAACTTTTTTATAAATAAATAAAGATTGCTCATTATGCTTGGCAAGTCACATGAAAAAAAAAAAAAAAAAACACACACACACACACACACACACACAATTTATATTAGGAGCAATACAGTCTACAGAAAAATTATTTTTCATGGTATTATGTAAGGAGTAATTTCTTTTTTTGCAACTATTCAAATTAAAGATAAGATGGCAATCAAATCTGAAACTCACCAAAATGCATTTTCCTCGGGCATTAGGAGCAAAAGTAGACCAGCAAAGAAGTTCATGGCCTGCATTGAGGAAAGCAGGATAAGTAGATAAAAATTAAAATGTAGTGAAGTTTGGATACCATAACTACACTTAGATCAAGACCCTTCACTTTGAATATAAATCTCCAAGACATAAGTAGGAGTCTAAAATGGGGAATTACAAATAAGTACCTTCTCAACTATGACTCTTCTCTTTATGAAACACTCCAGGACTCTTTTGCAAGTGTATCACATCTAAATATACTATCTTACTTCCAAAATTTCTAATCAAGTGTGCAAGAGAGATTTATAATTTCATAGAGTATGAAAAGAAAATAATGCAGGACCACTAACACCATACATAGAGTATGAAACAGTAACTCAATTTTTTAATGCCATATTATTTTTAGTATGATTATTACTCCGTATTTTTGTACATCATGGAGGATGAGATTGAAGCCCATGCATACTAAATATATTCGGTTGAGATTAGGCATTTACTCTTAGCTTCCTTCCTTAGATAATCTATTCACCTCTATAGCAGCCTTCATCAGTAACTAGCAAACAAAAGGGAGAAGGAAGGCAGATAACCTTTTTGTTGATGTACCTGACAGTAGCCAACAGAAGGGTTGTGCCGAGCATATGCAATCAGTAAACGCCTCAAGGCATTTCTTCCATTCTTGTCGAGAGCAGGATGGCCAGGAAATGTTCGGGGCAAATCCTGATTGTGAGGTGAAGATAAAGGATCAGAAATCAGATTAGCATTAATGCAGCAGAAAGATAGACAATAGAATGTACTGAATATATGATGCAATTATACTGACCTTATCAATCTGTGCTTTCCACTTCTCGACTGCACATTCATCTGCACTTAACTCCTTTGTACTGTCTGTCTCCTCTAATTCCATGCTTCTATGATCAGAATTATTGCCAGATTTAGTTTCTCTTGAAAGCAAATCTTGATAATAATTTTCCACTCGACGTGCTCTGACACCAACAAAAGCTTGCCAAAGCTGTAATTGCAATTTCAAAGACTAGATCAATGAAGCATATGTATAATAAAGAAGGTAAAGGAGAATATATCTACCTCTCCTCTGAGAGCCATTGGCACCCCGCCTTGAACAAGACACTCCAATTCTTCTTTCCAAGGAGGTAAAGACTTTGGAGATGAAACATCCTGGGCAGGACTCTCATTCAAAGGCACATCGTGTAACGAATCTGATCTCTCCAAATCATAATACTCATCCTCCGAGTCCTCTCCTTTTGTGCGTTTAGCTTCTTCAGTAGGAGTACTAGAATCTTGCTCTCTTTTCACTGCACCATCCTTGTTTTTGACACGCGTGTTCATCATATCTTCAATGGCTCGAAGTGATGGCCTTATATCAGACCATATCTGGACTTGATGAATTTTATCATTGGCTGATGTTGGCAACTCTTTAATCTCTGTAGTGTTTTCAGCAAGACCATCACAGACTTCAGCTCCATTCTGAGAACTGGAACCCAGTTCCCGGTTGATTGGCTCATCAGGCAGGTCTTTGAAATTGTTAACTGCAGATGATCCATTTATGGGAAATTGAGTGGATTCTGCTAGCCGTTCCAGAAAGTCTTTCCACCTATCAGACCTCTCCTCCTCCTCTTCCTAAGAGCATTATCAAACCAGCAATGAGGAGACAAACACAGTTTTTTTTTTTTTTTACCAGAGTAGTACTTCAATGTGCATTAAAAAAAAAACATTTACTTTCATGATTTAATCTGTCCATCTTTTTATACTCTTTAAATGGAGAAATAGGAAAAAGAGCTTAAAACCTTGTAGATATTAGCATATTCACGATATCTCTGTACATGCTGAGGCCTTACTGCAAACCCGTAAGCATCTCTGTACACATTAACCTTTATCAGTAAAGCGAGAGAATAAATAATCAAAATGAAAACTTTTGTCCAAAGATTCGTCTTTTCAAGCAGAAAACCCAAGAAAATAAGTGTCGGTGCAAGTGCAAGTCAGTAAAACCTCCCTCACAGCCAGTTTACCACAAGTTGAACCAATACATATTTGGAAAAGTTAAGGAAAGTAAACAAGAAAGAAACTTTAAAGCAAAATCATTAACTAATATGTAAGAAAGGAAAGAAAAATCTACCTTTTCCATAGCATTTAGTTCTCTAGTGTAAAATCTAGACGCTCAGGAATCAAGGATCCAAAAGAGGGAAAGTAATGGGAGAACAAAGTAGAAATTGCAGGTGGAGTGGATATTGATATAGTACCTGTTCTGATCAAAGGAAATGAGCTGAGGGGTCGCCGCTGAAACTGAATCTTTGGGCTTCATTGTCGGAGCACAGTCGGAATCCAGCAAACAACAGTGTAAAGATAAGGATTTCCGACTTTTTACTGTATTTTTCAATACATCCCTATATATTTTCCGACATAAAACATGGTCGCTGGTTTGAGTTAGACCTAAAGACGAAAATGGAGCGACTTAAGTGTGAAGTTGTAAAGATTATTTTCTTTCGTTTTCACCCTCACCCTGTGTAACCAGTGACTGCTACACTCGATCAGGAAGAAGATGGACTGTCGGGGCCACGGGGGACCCAAATCAGAATGCCAAAATTACCTGACACGCCTGGCCTGCCTTTACAATAATAATACGGAGTAACTTTTTATTTTTTAAAAGTTGAATTTTAACCTTATGACTTGTGAGAATCCAACCGCATCTTGTTAAAGCAACCTCAAGGATGCTCTTAAAAGCATATGCATCAATTGTGGAGTTTTGGGGATAATGTAAGAGTGATTTAGGAAAGATAATGTGAGATGGAAGAGAAAAAAAAATAACAAAATTGAAATTGAAAAAAAAAAAATTAATAAAAAATCGAAGCGTCAGGCGCGCTGATAGCGCACCCGTGTAGCTATTGGGTGTGCGCAAATACGCACAGCTAGTGTTGCTTTTTTTTTTTTTTTTTTTTTCTGACATTATTTTGATATTCGCAAGACAAATCTTTTCTAAAATAACCCCACCCCACATTTGTTATTAACCCACCCAAGAGAATTCATCTGACAATAACTCTATAACAACCATTATAGTGGATGCTCTAATAACTATAGTTTGTTTGAAGATTTTGATGTGTCAACTAAGAAAGTGAAAACAAAGAAAATAAAAGCTAGCAAAAAAGATTTAAAAAAAAAGTTAATATTACACGCCCATCATGGCACATGCTATGCATGCGCTTACTGGGCGCGATTATTGACTTTGTTTTCTCTCTTTTTTTTTTTCTCTCTTGGCGAGCCCCACTTAAAACCAATACTTGCAATAATAAAAATCCAAGGCGAAAATCTTGTTCTCCATTTGTTGAAAAATCTTTCAACCATATTTTTTTACTGTAAAAATCATATAAAATTCACTAGTGTGGATGTTCTAGTGGAGTAAGACTTTCATAACGACTGTTGAGACTTTTTTTATTAAAAAAATCAAGAGAGAGAAGACCCCAAAGATACAAAATTGCAGGTACTGAGCACGCTAAACTCTCCTGCTCGCTACGCAAGTGTAAAATTCTGTAAGATAGTGTATCCTACAATAGTTATTACAAAGGTTCAAACTCATAACCTCCCATATGGGAGTCCAACTTGGGTGCCATTATACCACAAGGTCTTGGCGACTACTCCAAACTATTAGCTTATAATGATTAAGAATTTGTTGCATTGTGAGAGTAATTCCAACCAAATTGGTTGGACCACTGACTTTATAATTATATGGTTTCAAATTTGGCTCTCTATAGTATTTGTATCACCAAACTCTGCTTTGCAATACAAAAATTTTAAACTTTATATATTTCCGCATGAACAACATGGTACAATGAGCACATCATCATACAAACAAACTAAATTGTCCATTAGAGTCAGCTCAGTTGATTAAACCGATCATCTTAAGTCTTGCATCAATGACAATGTGTGGTTCAAATTATATTGGATACCTGGAGGGTCATTGTGAGACATTAATCTATCATATGTGATGATGACTCCTTTTGTGTGCATAGTGCACATGCAATGAATTGGAACTTAGAGACGGCTGGAATTTACATTCTCCCTAGTAACTCTTGAGCATGAGTTTTAGTAGTTTAAGATTAGTCCGAACTCCGATATAAGATATAATTATGAAACCTAATGTAAAAGTTAATAAAATAAAATGAAAAAAACTAAATCACCTTGCATTTGAAATTTTATTCGAGAATAAACTCGAACTTGAATTTCCCTCTTTACTTTGGATCACGAGGTTGTTAGTTATCTAATAATATTAACATTTACTGTAAAAATATTATTTGTAAACAGAGTTTATACTAACTTACAAATGAGGTAAATGAAATAATGTCAAAAAAATTAAGTTTTAGATTAATAAATTAAAATAAAATATTATCCAATATCCAACATTTCACCAATCAAATTGCCCCTAAAAAAGTGTGCACAATTCTTTGTAGTATTACTTTATTTTATTTATAAACAAAAACAAAACAAAAAGTATATTTCGTGAACAATTATGTACACTAGAACAGTTGTGGGGGACAGCAGGAATAAGGAGGTAATTCACCTCTATTATTTATTGGATAAAATACATTAGAATATACAGCAACACTAGAATCTCATCATTTGATATATATTTTTTCTTTAAGAAAAGTTTAGTTTTAAAAAAAAAATTATATATGTTACTCTTTTTGTGTTATTTTGTTTGTCTGATTCAATTAACGATGTTTGATTTAAATTATTTTTAATTCAATTTTCAATAATATTAAGTTTATTATTAGTATATAAAATTTAAATATTTAGAAAATACATTAAAAATACTATTAAACACAATAAATTAAATTTAAAAATTACTAAAGAAAATAAATAATGAAGAAAGAATTTAGTTGACCAATAAATAGAACATAGGAAGTATTATGGTATATATGAGTGTATTTAATAATAAAAACAAATAAAATACTAATAATGTAAAATGTTCAAATAATTTCATTAATTAAAGTTCAATTAATGCCATATGGAGTCCTCCGAATATAGTTATTTTGTCACATTTAGTCATAAACTTTCAAATTAACTACTTATGGTGTTTCGACTTTCAAATTGTTATCATATGTGGTTAAAGTTCACCACCAATGGTCCTCTAACTTTTAAAATTTTACCGGCGGCCTTCTTGGAAGAGCCATGTGTGGTTAAAATTTGATAATTGAAGGACCATGAGTGATTAATTTGGACCACAGATGGTAACATTTTGAAAGTCAAAGAATCACGGATAGTCAACTTGAAAGTTTAGAATTAAATGTGACAAAATCACTATACTCAGAGGACCCTAGATGATATTAATTGAGCAAAATTGAGTAAAAAAATGCTATTGTGGTTGCTATAATGAACTCGTATGATTAAGTTTAGATGAAATATGAAAAATTATAATAATGACGGGACTAACAAGCAAATAAGCAAAAAGTAAGAACAGCGCCACAGCGGCGTCAAGTGAAACCGGTTTTTCCCGTCCACCGCTAACACATTTTCTCCGAACGATGGCCGGAGGAGCCCTCAAACTCCACGCCGTTGTTACTTCTATTTACTCTCAGAAGCCCTATACTTGGGCCCGCACCATCTCTTCCGCCGCCAAATCCGAGACGCTTAGAGGCCCCGCGGCGTCGACACCCAGGTGGCGTCGGAGGATACCGTTTCCAGCTCCGGTGCGCGGAGTACCCAATTACCAAATTTCTCTAGGTTTTCACAACCGAGACTGCTCCCCCCTTCTGCCCGTCAGGAGTATATCTACTACTCAAATGGGTTCCGACCCCGATAAGAAGGAACAGCAGCTGCCGGATACTGTGCCCTCACAGTCGGATAAATTGCTCACATTGCCCACAATATTAACGATTGGCCGCGTCGCTGCTGTTCCGCTTCTTGTGAGCAGTATGTTTCCCTGCCTATATAGCTTCCTTTGTTTCTGATTTTTTCTGCATTTAATTTTAATTGGGTTTTCTTCATCGGTAATTAGGTTTAAAAAGTATGGAAATTTACTAGAATTGTAGTCTGCTGTTGTTCTAGATTGCTGCTCTGGTGTGGTTTACTTGAGAAAGATTCCAACTTTCAATCTAAATATCAGTTTTCTTTTATTTCAACAATTGCATTCTCCTATACAGCTCCTGTTAGTAGTTCTTTGTGAGAAATACATGATTTCTCCTGGAGAATGTCTTTCTTAGATATAGAATATATAATTTTGCGTGGCTTTTGATTTTTTTTTTTTTTTTTCTTTTAAGCAATTGATATGAAAATTACCAGTGAGAGCTGCCTTATGAATATTCTTTCAATCCACTGTAATTCTGAAAATATAAAGAATGCATGCCATTCTCTTATTCATTTAAGAAACCTCCAATGCATAATGGTTCCAATTTGGCAAACACTCTGCTTCTTGACCAATTTAAAGCAGTGGTACTTGGAGAGAACTATATTGTGGTTAATCTTCAAAAATAAATAAATAAAAGAGAACTAATATGGGATGTTCTTAAACTAGCCTTCTATGTCGATAGCTGGTGGGGGCCAGCTGCTACAACTGGTATCTTCATTGCAGCGGCAATTACTGATTGGCTAGATGGGTATATTGCCCGAAAGGTATGGGCCTTTGCTGCTTCCCTTAGAATCCTATACTGTAATTCTGTCTTTTTTTTTTTTTTTTTGGGTACAATTTAATTTATGGTTTGATGTATTGACATTTTCAGAAGAAATTAGGAACGGCATTTGGTGCCTTTTTGGATCCAGTGGCCGATAAGGTAATCACTTTGAATGAAATTTATCATTTGTTTTGGGTCAGAAGTTCACATTTATAGTAGCAAAGGATGCTTTTGTCTTTCAAAGCACATAATGAATCTTAGACATATAAATTTAAAATTTTATAATGATGGTATAAGACTAAATTTGCCTTGTTTATTACTACAGCTAATGGTTGCTGCCACTTTGGTCTTGTTGTGCACTAGACCTTTGGAAGCTAGTGCCTTTGTACATATGCCATGGCTGCTGACTGTACCTTCAATTGCTATTATTGGCAGGGAGGTGAGTGGCCATTTATGTTCCATGTTTTCATAGCTTGTTGATCACTCTAAGCATTTCTTGTTGGGAGATGAGTGAGCATGGAACTGGTAAGCTCAAATCCTAATTTTTTATTGTTCTTTCCCATCCCTTGGGGGCAAGTGAGGGGTTGAAATTTTAGGTGACAATGAATAATGCTTCCCCTAAATGTTTCATGGGAAAATTTAATGACTCTCGAGTCTCGATGTAGTACTGCTTCACGATTAAAAATGTATACACCGAGTCATCTATAATGATAATTACTTTATTAAACACTACAGTTTGTGATGTCTACTGCTGTTTGTAATCTGAAGAACAATTCTTGTATGTAGATAACAATGTCTGCAGTTAGGGAATGGGCGGCCTCTCAGGGCAGCAAACTTTCAGAGGTTACAATTTCTTATTTGGACTGCCATTATCCGTTACAAAATAGTCCTTTCCGGCATTCTATGATAGTTTGCTGATGAAGCATGAATCCAATTAAATTTTCTCCAGGCCGTTGCTGTGAATAACTTGGGGAAGTGGAAAACAGCTACACAGATGTCAGCCTTAACCATTCTACTCGCAACCAGAGACAGCAGGTAAACTGGTCTTGTCTGCTACATTAGCCCGATTGTCTGATAGAATTCCTATCTAATTATCCATTCTGCCCCTTTCTCTTTTACCAGTCTCGTTGATGCTGGAGCTCTAGTGGGCTCTGGTGTAGCTTTGCTATATATTTCAGCATGGCTCGCAGTTTGGTCTCTGTTCGTGTATATGAGAAAGATATGGAAAGTACTGCTGGTATAGGAACATCTCCGATTTGAGGTGCATCTTGGTTCAAACTTCCAACACTCACCGGACTCAGCACAGTTCATCAAAACCATTGGACCACAAGTATGGAAACTCATACTCTCCCACTGCTTGTTGCTACATCTGGTGATTGCCCTTTGTTCAAGATTGTATTTTGCACATAATAAAGCTAATATCGAGTAGTAAGTTCAAATTTTATAGTATTTTCCAGAAAACATTAATGCAACATATGAATTTGATTACTATCAAGCTAGTATCTAGTACAGTATCCTGGCTTGTAAACTTAACTTTGATTCATTGTAATTGAAGATACGAACTTGAATTGCAATATTGAATTGAAATCTAATATAACCCTATTTTAAGTGGAGAAAAGCTAGAGATTGCAAATATCAGAAGTTCCTATAAAAATTATTATCAATCCCCTTTTACAGCAACTGGCCTCATTGCATAATATTGGGCGGGCTCACGATCAACCTCACAGTTGTGAGTTCACTCTTGACAATTTAACATTGAAGTAAGAATCAAACACAAAAATGGTGTTTTCTCCCCAACATTAAACCCAAAAATGAAAATTTTCTATCTTTTGTTAAAATTTAAATAGGATTGATGGGTGGGGAATAGAATAATAAAAGAGACTATAACAATAATAAAAATCTCAAACAAATTAAATTCTATCTCACAAAATTTTTTAATAGTAACTTCTAACATCTTTATTTTTGGAAAGTCTTGATCCGTGGTCAACCCAAGTTTAGCATGCTGTTTATATTATATTTTTCTCCAATAATAAAGGGAGTACTTTTTAACTCCAAGTGGGAAGCTATTTCCAATAGGATCCAATGGATGAATATCCAATTCAGCGTTTTTCGTTGACTGAAACTGGGTGCAGTCTTCTTCCACGAACACGATGGATACAGACATGGAATGGCCATTATACAAAGCATGCGAGCTTCGCTGCAAATTATATTACCAAATAATTTTTTTTTTCTCTATCAAATGGATCCTGCAGCTGCTTTACCCATTGATTATCTTCTAATGGATTCAGCTTTATACGAAGCACTGGTGGAAGGAAACGAAGAAGATGTAGATGAATCTCTTTGGTACAAGATGGAACAACATGGCGGCCGCCAGGTGACGCCAAAGGGTAACACTATCCTTCATATCGCGGCTCTATATGGTCACTTGCATTTCGTGCAAAAGATTCTTGAAAAGCACAGTTCTTTGTTATGCGTTCCCAACAAGAAAAATGAAACTGCGCTTCACATTGCTGCAAGGGAAGGCCACAGTGGGGTCGTCTCTGCGCTCATCAACTGTGCCAAAGCGCGCCCAGAACTCGAATCTGGGATAGGAGCAAGAGATATGGTGAGGATGATGGATGGCGATAAAGACACAGCTTTGCACAAGGCGGTGAGGAAAGGGCATTTGGAAGTTGTTAAATTGCTGGTGAAAGAGGATCCCGAATTTGAGTTTGGTGCCAATGAGGCAGGGGAAACCCCACTTTACATAGCTGCAGAGCTCCAATTTCATGAGTGTTTGGTCCAAATCTTGAACAATTCCCATAGACCTGTTTTCAATGGACCTCTTGGCCGAACTGCGCTTCATGCAGCAATAATTCATAGGGGGAGCCCAAAAGGTAGAGCCTTTTAATTTGTTACATACTTTGTGTTAATTAATCTGATAATTGTTTGTTTTATATATTAGATTCCACAAAGTTATTGTTGGAAAAAGAAGCATCTTTGTGTGAGGTGGGTGACAATTGGGGTTGGACGCCATTACACTACGCTATAAGGCTACATAATGAGAAAGCTGTTGAGGAGATTCTGCAAGTAAAGAGCAGTGCAGCATACATCCCAGCAGGAGGCAAAGAAGGTGAGTGGACAACTGCAGTTCATATAGCAGTAAGTGAAAACTCTGTGGTTTTGTTCAAACAAATATTACAGCAGTGCCCACTCTGTTGGGAGATGGTTGATAGCAAAGGTCGAAATGTCCTTCATGAAGCAATTCTGAATGATGCAAGAAAGGTTATCAAATTTATCTTAAATTCTCCAAAAATGGATCACCTTGTTGATGAGAAAGACGAGGATGGTGACACTCCTCTACATTTGGTTGCTGCTTCCAACAACTATGTGCCACAATTGATCCCTCATCCAAGACTGAAGGGTACTGTGATATTTAATAAACAGAACTTGACGCCACTGGACATTGCATATCAGGAACCACCTTTGGTAACTACATTTCATTTCATTTCATTCTATTCTATCTACAATTTTTTATGCTGCAACTAACTCATATAAAGTTAATGAAACAATGTTGTAATAGGTTGCCTTAAAGCCTATGCTAATTAAAGTTGGTTGGAAGCGGGGTTGGCGTTGTGACCTAACAATGAAAACAAAGAGGAATGCTTGCAACCATGGTGGAACCAGCAGGACGCAAATGATACAGAAAAGGAAGGACCGCGAGGAAATGTATACTAATAGTGTGGCGAAGGTAGCTCAGACACACATTGTGGTGGCGACTCTAATAGCAACAGTAACCTTTGCAGCCGGGATCACATTACCAGGTGGCTACAACAACACTGTGGGTGAAACCACCCAAGGGATGGCGATTTTATTAGGAAAGTCAGCTTTCAAAGCGTTTGTTATTACCAATGCTATTGGCTTTGTGTGCTCCATTGCCTCACTAACTGGATACATCCGGTTGGTGGGAGAAGCCTCGGATACTAAGAGATTAGAAATTCTGGAAAATGTTGGTTTTTACTCGGCTCTTATGCTTGATTTATCCTTGATAGCAGTTGTGCTTGCATTTGCAACGGGGATGTTCGCAGTTTTAACACATTCAACTGCCCTTGCGGTGGGGCTATGCATCAGTATTTGTATACTTGTCGTAGGCCTCATCAGTTTCCCCGTCTTCATAGGTTACAAAGAAAGAGGGCTCATTGTAAGCAAATTTAAAAAATATGTGATAATAAAGAAAGCTTAATTAGCTAGCTCAATCTAATTAAGCTCTCATGCATACAGCCTAACTTGCATTGTATACATTTTGTTTAGATACCTTTATGTCGTTAATTAGTTGGTTTAGCATTATATTTCTAGTTTTATGCCTGCAATACTCCTACCTGGATATGCATCTATCTGTTGCTGCTGCAAGTAGTGGCATTAGGCTAGATCACAATGCAAATTTCACTCACTCAGAATACACTTTCAAATTAAAACTACGGACTTCTCAATAAATGTTATATAGATCTACGCGAAGGTGAAAGGCAAGGTGTAGGGTCGACCCCTACCAATGGAAAGTATGAAAATGGTCTTGTCGTGGAATTTGTTAGATTTCAAGACAAGCCTAGATTGAACTATTGAAAGATGATGAAGATGTTTGAGAATGGAGTGCAATCTTTTGGAAAATGCTTCAAAGTTAAAGTTGAGAAGCTTCATTCCAACTATAAAGAAAGTTGATGAGATGTTTCATTCCAAGTATAAAGACAGTACGTTGATGATGAGATGCTTCATTCCAACTATAAAGTTGCAATATAATTACGTGACATTAATGATACTTGCAAATAAAATACGTACTCAACTAATATAATTAATAAATTAATCTCAACTTTAAACTAAAGTAGATTTTGATTAATGTAATATTGAGACACTATATGTGGTGCGCTAATTAAACAATATCATGGTGGAGAAACTTGGAATATATATATGTACTCACGCGGAGGGAGAAAGTTGGATTAATGATTTTGCATGCACTTTTATTCCACACAATATTCAAACACGTACAAAATAATAGTCCGTTTGGAAACTCGAAAAATGACTTTTGAAAAAAAATTTCAGTGTTTGGATGTAAAAGAAAAATTCAGTTAACAGAAAACATTTTCCATTGACTGGGAAAATAAAGCCATTTTGGCGGAAAATGACTTCCACCAAAATTTGGGGAAGTCATTTTCCGCCTTAATGTTTAAACATACAACTCTATTCAATATATTTTTCCATGAAATAAGCTAAACACACCAAGTTTTTCAAAATACAATCAAACAGAAAAAGAAAATATTTTTCTGCTTTCCAAACCGACCCTAAAATTAAACTTGCCTTTTTCAAACAAACCCAGAACGAAATTTCAAGTGGGGCCGGGAGGGGAAATATTTCTTCGTTCCCACCTTTCTTTTTAAAAAGTCACAGCACAGAATTATTATTGTATTATTACGCGTTTTCACATTTCATGCTGGAGACATGGCATGGTAATTATATATACAAATTACCCATCCATCAGTAACGTAACATTACCTGTACCAACTAATCCTTCACCTCAAATCAAATACAGGCAGGCCAATATATATAATTATGGATTCTGCTTCTGATGCTGCTGCTTTACCCACTGATTATCTTCTAATGGATTCAGGTTTATACGAAGCACTGGTGGAAGGAAATGAAGAAGATGCTGACGCTGTTTGGCAGAAGATGGAACAACATGACGGCCGTCAGGTGACGCCAAAGGGTAACACTGTCCTTCATATCGCGGCCCTATACGGTCACATACATTTCGTGCACAAGATCCTGCTGCAGGAACAACACAGATCCTTCTTGTTATGTGCTCTAAACAAGAAAGGTGAAACTGCGCTTCACATTGCTGCAATGGAAGGCCACACTGACGTAGTCTCTGCGCTCATCCACTGTGCCAAAACAAGCCCAGAACTACGTCTACTTGGAGTTGAATCTGGTATGGGAATAGGAGCAACAGATATGGTGAGGATGGTGGATGAGGATAAAGACACAGCTTTGCACAAGGCTGTGAGGAATGGGCATTTGGAAGTTGTGAAGTTGCTGGTGAAAGAGGATCCCGAGTTTGAGTTTCCTGCAAATCAGTCTGGGGAAACCCCACTTTACATAGCAGCAGAGTTGGGATTTCATGAGGGGTTGGTTGAAATGTTGAACAATTGCCAGAGACCTGTCTACGGCGGACCTCTCGGCCGAACTGCGCTTCATGCAGCAATAATTAATTGGACCCCAAAAGGTACGTAGAGTTACGTTTTTGTTATGTTACTTTTGGTGAAAGTAGCCAATATGCCTCAAAACTTTAACCTAGCTTCCTTTTATAGTTACATGTGATTATCAAGTCAACAGCAGACAAATTTTGTTGAGTTGAGATTGTTCCTTTAATTTTTTGTTATTTTGACTTATGTAATCATGAAATAAATATTGATGGGGATATGGTTGTTGGGCCTAGCCCATGGTGCTTGGGGGTGGCCGGTGGGGGTGTCGGGGGTACGACGGCCGTGCCCCGCTTGCGTGGTGGGGTGCATGCTTGCGTTTGCGGAGGCGGGAGCATCGCCCGCCATTGGCGGGGTGATGGTGGCTAGTGGGGGGCGCAATGGGTACCCGTAGCTAGGGCGGGGAAGGTGACATGGGACACGTGGTTGGTGGAGATGGGCTTGCATGGATGCTGTATGCCCGAGAGCAATATGATCATTGGTACTTCTCTAGTTTGGTTTACTTTCAACGTTTACATTGTAAGCACACAGAGTCAACAACGCCTCCATTGAGACTCAATCTCATGAGCTCCCACATGAAAGAGGTCACTACATGTCATCTGAGCACAAGGTGCTTGGCACAACGACAACCTCTCTAGTTTGGTTGTCTTTAGCCTTCTCTCTAAACTGAGAGATTAGTGTTGGAATCCTAACAACGACAATATTATTTCTAGTACGTTGTCCATGGTTGACGGCTTGTGTTGTTCATTTGGACCATCATCTTGCAGCTTGTCTATATTTTACTGGGCCTAGTGCCCTGGCAAGGGAGCGGATTAAAGACTGAAATATGCAGTCAAGAGCCCCTATTTCCACAAATGTGTGCTGTTTTTTTTTTTTTTTTTTTTTTTGACATCAATATGCAAAACTCAGTTGGGAGTTGCGTTTTTGCTTGTGTCCCGCCCCTTTTTATTTTTTTTTTTCCGTATTTACGTAAAACGCAACTACGAGTTGCGTTTACAAAATCGTATACGTAAAACGCATTATGAGAACGCGTTTTTGAAGGAGATACGGTATCCTGGAAAACGCAAGTTAAATTTGCGTTTTACGTATTATACGTAAAACGCAAAAGTGAGTTGCGTTTACTGGTTTTGTACACCTGCGCTCCGCTCGTGGCGCCGCTTCATCTACTCCCCTTCTTTCCTTCCCTTCTACTGTCTCTACGCTCTGCTCTCTCCTTCTTCATCAATGGCGGCCTCCCCGTCGTCGTCATCGTCGATCAGTAAGCCAGAAGTTCCGCCGAGTTCGATTGAAGTCTTGTGTCTAGACCCCTTTCGTCGAAGTGGAGCCAACTCCCAAGCCCGCCGCTCTGCTCGTGGCGCCGCTTCATCTACTCCCCTTCTTTCCCTCCCTTCTACTGTCTCTACGCTCTGCTCTCTCCTTCTTCATCAATGGCGGCCTCCCCGTCGTCGTCATCGTCGATCGGTAAGCCAGAAGTTCCGCCGAGTTCGATTGAATTCTTGTGTCTAGACCCCGTTTCGTCGAAGTAAAGCCAGCTCCCAAGCCCGCTGCCGGAACCCCCTCTGCGAATCCTCCACCGCCACCCTTCCTTTATTTCTAGAACCCTCCCTGTCCAGTCATTAGTCGTCTCCGGCAGGCTTCTCCTCGTCGCCGGCACCACGGACAACTTCCTTCCCGCTCACGAAGAATACCGAGTTGCATTTTTCGTATTTTAAAGTATTATACGTAAAACGCATCTCCCAAATGCGTTTTAACGTATGCTATACGTATCATGAAAACGCATTTGGCATATGCGTTTTACGTATACAATACGAAAAACGCAACTCCTACTTGCGTTTTAAGTAAATAAGGAAAAACAAACAAAAAAAAAAAAACAAAAAACACCCGGGACACATGCAAAAACGCAACTCGGAAGTGAGTTTTACACATTTCTGTAAAAAAAAAAAAAAGTCAGCACACATTTACGAAAATACTGTAGGAACCGTTGGTAGAAAACAAATAATAATCAAATAAAAAATTGACTATTATTTTCTGGAAAGAAGGGAAGAAAAATTTGAAGAAAATTGGCTAGTGTTTGGTGTTGGGTTTTTGCAAGAGTCAAGTGTGCACTCTTTCCTTAAAACCTTATTTGCCACCTCCCGTAGATGCTAGGAGCGTTGTGGCCTAGGCTTCCCAGGATAAAACTTGCTATGATCCAATGTTTGAGCATTCAAACAAAGGATCCGGCGAGCAAGACAATGGGTATGAACACAGTATGGCTTAAAGAAAGAGTAGAAGCAGAGAGGTTTTGAGGCTAAAAGATGAACTTTCGTGTTCTATATATTCTGTGTGTTAAACTCTACTGCCTCTACCCTCTCTTATATAGGGTTGAAGGAGCCAATAGCCTTTATTATGGCAATTAAAAATGACATTAAAGCTGCCTTCCAACAGCTATAACAGCAGGCCACTACCTGGGAATTGAATTCAGAATTCAAAATGTGAATTCAAAATTGGAATTAATAGACAATTAATTCCGTAACAGATGAATTCAATCCCCTCAACAGTCAGAACTTTCGGGTTCCTGACCGTTAGCGTACAGGGTTCGGTCTCAACTTTCGACCTCATCCAGTTTCGGCCCTTGCACCTTTCGTGGACTCTGTTGCACGAGAGTTCGGTCTCAACTTTCGACCTCATCCAGTTTCGGCCCTTGCACCTTTCGTGGACTCTATTGCACGAGAGTTGTGCTCTCAGTGCACCACAACCTCTCGTGCTCTCTTGTAGCACGAGAGTAGGTGTGCTCTCGGTTCGGTTCTGGCCGAACCCGAACCCAATTTCCGGACGACATTCGTGCTCCCAGGTGCCGGCGCACACGAGCTCGGGTTTGAATCAAGCCTTTTTTCAATCTCTGCTAGTTGGAATTTGATTTGCATCCCCCCCCCCCCGTGCGAGAGAGCCTCTATGCTATACAATTCTACAAGCTTCAAAAGAGCTCTTGTATATAAGGGGGGAAAATCTTCATTCCAAAGCAATGTGGGACAAAAGCTCACTTTTTCCCTTCATTTTCCAACTCAAATGGGTCTACTTTGAGAATCAATATCTCATTCACCCATTATCCGTTTTGAGCGTACAATATATCGATCTCTTCGTCTCACTACGAAGAATCCGAATCCACTTTAACCCGACCCAAATCGGAAGTGGACCCCACTGATAATTGTACCACAAAATAGCCACTTAACATGCCATTTTATGCTCTTTTTTTTTCCAACAATCCCCCACATGAATGAAAAATTGATTTTCGGGGTATTTTGAAATCGGAAACAACTGTGTTCAAACGGTCGATCCCTGCATAGGATAGGTAGGGAGTCACTATACCCTTTGAACCTTCCCTCGTAAAGACATGTTTACTCTACTGGCTGTACGGTAGAACGCGATGTCTTTGAACCGACTGCCGTTTGTGTAGACGATGACATATCTCACACAGGAATCTCCCAACCATGCTCTTGCTCTCATGAGTGTGCCCGTTTTGGTCGTGGGTCACCGTTCCTGGTTCTGCGAGAGTTTCTAAAGAATTGTGCCCAACAATTCTCCTTTGAAGCGACCCTCACTTCTCTCTAACATAGGTGATTTTTTCTCGAGTATCCCGCATACTCAAGAATCATTAAAGCATTAACATGCTAGCCTCTTGCGGGAGTCACTGTTTTAACGAGGAGTGGTAGGGAATCCGAGACCCCCACAGTGACGCGCTCCGTTCCATAATTTAGTTGTCCCATTGAACCTAGGTGCCAGCTAGGTTAGGTATCCACTATAGAACTTTTTAGTCCAAGGGCAGTAGACCCATTCCTCGTGTCAACTTCTCCACAACTTCTCTTCCTAACCCTTTGGTCAGCGGATCCGCTATATTGTCTTTTGACTTTACGTAGTCAATCGAGACAACACCAGTTGTGAGTAGTTGTCTAATGGTATTATGTCTACGACGCACGTGTCTAGACTTACCATTATACATATGACTCTGTACTCTCCCAATTGTGGCTTGACTATCGCAATGCACACATATTGGAGGTACCGGTCTTTCCCAATTAGGAATATCCTCTATAAAATGGCGTAGCCATTCAGCCTCTTCACAACCTTTGTCCAAGGCTATCAGCTCAGATTCCATCGTGGATCTAGCTATCACAGTTTGCTTAGAGGATTTCCATGCAACGGCTGCACCGGCTAGTGTAAACACGTAGCCACTCGTGGACTTAGAGTCCTTAATATCAGATATCCAATTCGCGTCGCTGTACCCTTCAAGTACAGCGGGATATCTCCCGTAGTGCAGTCCAAGATCACGAGTATACCTCAAGTATCTCATAACCTTTACTATTGCCTTCCAGTGCATAGCACCGGGGTTACTCGTATATCTACTGAGCTTACTAACCGCATAGGCAATATCCGGCCTAGTACAGCTCATAAGATACATCAAACTACCAATAACCTGAGCATATTCCACTTGTGAAATACCTTCTCCGTGGTTCTTGGTTAGATGAATGTTTGTATCAAATGGTGTCCTAGCCACTTGACTATCATCCTTGTTAAATTTCTCAAGGATTTTGTCAATATAATGTGATTGGCTCAACACGAGACCATCAGGTCTTCTAATGATTCTAATCCCGAGGATCAAATCAGCCAACCCCATATCCTTCATGTCAAATCTCGCATTTAACATGTTTTTGGTAGACTTGATCATCCGATCATTACTACCAACGATGAGAATATCATAGACATATAAACAAAGAATGACGTAGCCATCTATCGTTTCCTTAACGTAGACACATTTGTCACCTTCGTTTATTTTAAACCCGTTCGTTAACATCGCATGGTCAAACTTCTCGTGCCACTGCTTAGGCGCTTGTTTTAAACCATAGAGTGATTTAACCAACTTACACACTTTCCTTTCTTGGCCCGGAACCATGAACCCTTCGGGTTGTTCCATATAGATTTCCTCATCTAATTCACCGTTTAGGAAAGCGGTTTTCACATCCATTTGATGAACTTCCAAGTTCCGCAACGCGGCTATGGCAAGTATCATCCTAATGGAGTTTATTCTCGTCACGGGAGAATACGTGTCGAAGTAATCGAGGCCCTCGCGTTGCCTGTAACCCTTGATTACAAGCCTAGCCTTATACTTCTCGATGGAACCGTCCGGTTTCATCTTCCTTTTAAAGACCCACTTGGATCCTAAGGGTTTACTACCCGGAGGAAGATCAACCAGTTCCCAAGTGTGATTCTGTAGAATAGAATCCACTTCACTTTTTATAGCCTCTTTCCACATTGGTCCTTCTGTAGAAGTCACGGCTTCTACATACGTTCGAGGCTCGTTCTCTATCAAACAAGATAGAAAATCGGGTTCATTTTCTAATAAACAAGTTAGAGTACCCGAATCGTACTCTAACAAGTAAGTTAGAAAATCAGGACCGAATGATTTTCCAACTCTCGCCCGCTTACTGCGTCTCGGCTCGAGCTCGGGTTCTCTCTCGGATTCCCCACTATCAATATCCATAGTTTCGTCAAACGTTCGTTTTGACGTACTTGGTCCCTCGTTGGAACTACAAGGAAATATATTTTCGAAAAAATATGCATTCCTTGATTCTATTATCGTGTTCTCGTGTACATCCGAATTATTGGACTCGTGTACTAAGAACCGATAAGCACTACTATTATGTGCATAGCCAATAAAGATACAGTCCACCGTCTTAGGACCTATCTTTACTTTCTTAGGTGTTGGCACCAAAACTTTGGCAAGACACCCCCACACTTTCAGGTACTGGTAGGAAGGTTTCCTACCGTTCCACAGCTCATAAGGAGTCTTATCGAGCTTCTTTCGGGGTACCTTATTCAAAAGGTAATTACTTGTCAAAATCGCCTCACCCCAAGCATCTTGAGGTAGACCCAAACTTATAAGCATCGCATTCATCATATCTTTCAATGTACGATTCTTTCGTTCGGCAACACCGTTCGATTGAGGTGAGTAAGGTGCAGTACGCTCGTGTATTATACCTACACTCGCACAGAAGTCACCAATAGGTGCTTCGTACTCACCACCTCTATCGCTTCTAACCTTCTTAATTCTCCGATTAAGTTGGTTTTCCACTTCATTCTTATAAAGAACGAATTTATCAACGGCTTCGTCTTTGCTCTTAAGCAAATACACATAGCAGTATCGTGTGCTATCGTCGATAAATGTGATAAAATACTTATTACCACCTCTCGTTTGTATCGATCTAAAATCGCACAAATCACTATGGATTAATTCTAGTGGTTCAGTTTCCCTTTCAACCGACTTGAAAGGTACTTTCGTTAGTTTTGCCTCAACACAAATTTCACACTTGTTATTTGTGTCAATTTGAAAGTTAGGAATATGGTCCATGCTAATTAATCTACGCATAGAATTAAAATTAACATGACCTAGTCTACCATGCCACAAACTGGAAGACTCAAGCAAGTAAACAGAATTAACTTTGCTTTTATTGATAACAGGAATTACATTGAGCTTAAAGAGCCCATTAGTTACATATCCTTTACCAACAAACATCCCTAACTTGGACAAAACTACTTTGTCTGACTCGAACACCATGCGAAAGCCATGCTTGTTCAACAGAGAGCCAGACACAAGATTCTTCCTCAGCTCAGGAACATACAGCACGTTGTTCAACGTTAGTTCCTTCCCGGAAGTCATCTTCAGAACCACCTTGCCCATGCCTTCCACAGCAGACTGAGCAGAGTTTCCCATCCACATCTTTTCACCATCAACGGTCTCAAAGGTGTTGAACATTTCTCGGTTGCAACACAAGTGCCTGGTTGCACCGGTATCAATGAACCATTCACGAGGGTTTGAGCCCACGAGGTTCACCTCGGTCACCATAGCCGAAAGGCTAATCTCGACCTCTTTCTGATTGCTATCTCCAACAACATTGGCTTCAGAACTCTTGTTCTTCTTCCTTGGAGCCTTGCATTCAGATGCTCTGTGGCTATGCTTGCCACAATTGTAGCATTCACCAGGAAACTTGTTCTTGGTAACGCCACCTTTCGGACCTAGCTTTCGCTTGTCCTTCTTGTTCCTCCTGGAGTTCTTACCGTGCTCCACAACGTTGGCCTTAGCACCAATAACGATAGGAGCCTTCCTATCATTCGTCCTGTTCCCTTCCTCAATCCTGAGTCGCTGGATCAGGTCCTCCAGATTCATCTCCTTTCGCTTATGCTTAAGGTAGTTCTTGAAGTCCTTCCAACCCGGAGGCAACAAATGGATCACAGATCCCACTTGGAAGGCTTCACTTAGCACCATGCCTTCGTCACGGATCTCGTCAAAGATTAATTGCAAATCTTCTACCTGACTTAGCACGGTCTTTGAATCAACCATTTTGAAGTCGAGGAATCGGCCAACTACAAATTTCTTTGAGCCGGCATCCTCACTTCGGTATTTATGATCCAAAGCTTCCCACAACGCTTTTGATGTGCTTATCTTTCGATATACATCATATAGCGTGTCACACAATCCATTCAGGATGTAGTTTCGGCAAAGGAAGTCCGAATCCTTCCAATAGCCAACCGCCATCACGGATTGTGCATCTTGTTCCTTCAACTCGGGAACACTCTCGGACAAGAACCTTGCCAGGCCGAGAGTTGCTAGGTAGAACAACATCTTCTGTTGCCACCTCTTGAAGTTCGAACCAACACCGGTGAACTTCTCCGGCTTTTCAGCCGAACCACTCGGTACCGTAGGTACCCGAGACATGGGAATATATCCCTCAGTTATATAGGGTTGAAGGAGCCAATAACCTTTATTATGGCAATTAAAAATGACATTAAAGCTGCCTTCCAACAGCTATAACAGCAGACCACTACCTGGGAATTGAATTCAGAATTCAAAATTGGAATTAATAGACAATTAATTCCGTAACAGATGAATTCAATTCCCTCAACCGTCAGAACTTTCGGGTTCCTGACCGTTAGTGTACAGGGTTCGGTCTCAACTTTCGACCTCATCCAGTTTCGGCCCTTGCACCTTTCGTGGGTTGTGCTCTCAGTGCACCACAACCCTCTTGTAGCACGAGAGTACGAGAGTAGGTGTGCTCTCAGTGCACCACAACCCGAACCAAGTGGCTATACCGGCATAACTTAGCCCGCAAGGCCAGCCAATTTTAGGACGACATTCGTGGGACAAAAGCTCACTTTTTCCCTTCATTTTCCAACTCAAATGGGTCTACTTTGAGAATCAATATCTCATTCACCCATTATCCGTTTTGAGCGTACAATATATCGATCTCTTCGTCTCACTACGAAGAATCCGAATCCACTTTAACCCGACCCAAATCGGAAGTGAACCCCACTGATAATTGTACCACAAAATAGCCACTTAACATGCCATTTTATGCTATTTTTTTTTCCAACAAATACAACTTGGCCCCTACACATTTCAGTCCTTTATCCCAAGGGAGCTTCCACTCTATGGTGGACCCGGTCCAACAAAATCATCAAATTAAATATAATATAATTTGTGTATGTGATAATTGTTTTATATGTTATTATAGATTGCACAAAGTTATTGTTGGTAAATGAAGCATGTTTGTGTGAGGTGGGTGACGATTGGGGTTGGACACCATTGCACTACGCTGTAAAACGACATAATGAGAAAGCTGTTTGCGACATTCTTCAAGTAAAGAGTTCAGCGGCATACATTCCAGCAGGAGTAGGCAAAGAATGGACAACTGCAATTCACATAGCAGTACGTGAAAACTTTGTAGGGTTGTTTAGAAAAATAGTAGAGCGTTGCCCACTTTGTTGGGAGATGGTTAACAGCAAAGGTCAAAATGTCCTCCATGAAGCAATTTTGAACAATAGCACAGGCATGATCAAATATATCTTAAATAATAATAATTCTGGGAGAAAAAGGGATCACCTTGTTGATGAGAAAGATGAGGACGGTAACACTCCTCTACATCTGCTAGCGATCGCTGCTGCTGCTTCCTACAAATATGTGCCAGAATTGAAACAACATCCTAGATTATTGAAAAATGCCGGTGTGGTTTTCAATAAACAACACATGACCCCGCTCGACATTGCATATCAACAGCCACGATCAGCTTCGGTAAGCTAGCTAGCTAGCTAGTACATTATATTTCATTTTGCATGCCATATTCTATATATATATATATATATATATATATATATATATATATATATGCTGCAATTAAGCTAAGTTAACTCGATCATATAGATTTAATGAAACAACGTATATATTAGGTTTTCTTACAATATGTTCCAACTAAAGTTGGTAACCGGCATGGTGGCCTAACAATGAAAAGAAAGAGGAAGAATAATGGCGATGAAAGGAGGAATAGGGAAGAAATAATACAGGAAAGGAAAGCTCGTAAGGAGAGGTATATGAATAGTGTGGCGAAAACGGCGAATACAAACATTGTGGTGGCAACTCTAATCGCAACAGTAACCTTTGCAGCCGGGATCACATTGCCAGGCGGGTACCAAAGCAACGAAAATCAACAAGGGATGCCAATTTTATTAAGAAAATCAGCTTTCAAAGCATTTGTGGTTACTGATGCTATTGGGTTTGTGTGCTCCATAGTTTCCATAATTGGATACATCCGGTTGGTGGAAGAGATGTCCGATGCTAAGAGACGCAAAATTGTAAACAAGCTTGCTGGCTACTCGATTGTTATGCTTGATTTATCCTTGGCAGCAGTTGTGCTTGCGTTCGTACTGGGGATGTTCGCCGTTTTAACGCTGCATTCATCGGCTGTTGCGGTGGGAGTATGCGTCGCCATTTGCCTATGTATCCTCGCCCTCATCGCTTTCTCTATGTTCTTGGGCTACAATGAAGAATGGTGGATTATAGTCAAATTCCATGAAATTGTTCAGTTTTTCAACAAACTTTGACCACAAATTAAAAGAAGCAAGAAACAATGAAGGGTAGACCAGTTGCATTCACTTTGTAGTTTGTACTGACACTCAAGTCACCACAATGAAATTTCGCCATCTTTATTTCTGGAAATTAAAGTCTAAGCTTGATCCCGTGGTTGACCCAAGTTTAGCATTTTTTTTTAAATTATATTTTTCTCCAATAATATAATTTGTACGTAAACTCCAAGTGGGAAGCTATTTCCAATAGGATCCATTGAATCAATATCCAATTCAGCGTTTTTCGTTGACTGAAACTGGGTGCAGTCTCTTCTTCCACGAACACGATGGAGGGAGCTGAGACATATATGGAATGACAATTATATAAATTAAAGCAGCAAATTATATTACCATCCAGTACCAAATAATCTTTTTTTCTCTAGCTATCAAATGGATCCTGCAGCTGCTTCACCCATTGATTATCTTCTAATGGATTCAGCTTTATACGAAGCACTGGTGGAAGGAAACCAAGAAGATGTAGATGAATCTCTTTGGTACAAGATGGAACTGTCAGACATATATTTTATATATATCTTTTATTGTACAGTTTATAATAATGTTGTTATTGACTTACTGAGAGATCTAGTCTTTAGCCTAGTTGTTAGCTCTCTCTCTTAAGTCTATATTTGTATTCTCCCGTTTTGTTATGAATTGAATTAACTGTTCCACTCTCATCTGGTATCAATTAGCCAGTAGGAATCCTAGAATCCCAGTCTCTCTCCTCCTCCTTTTTCGACCATGTCGCAGAGTTCAGAGAGAACCATCACCACCACCTCCGTTTCCTCCCCTAATCCCCCGAATTCCTTACCGAGTGCACACCATTTTGTGTCACTCAAATTAACCCACAGAAATTACCTATACTGGCGTACCCAAATCATCCCGTTCCTCCGTGGGCAGCGCTTGCTCGGGTTCATTGACGGCTCCCGTCCGTGCCCGTCACCGGTGATCGAAACTCCCACCAGCGAAGCTGCGATCGACACTGCATCCGTGACTCCTAATCCGGCCTATGAGGCGTGGCTGGAGCAAGATGCCTCAATTCTCTCTCTTCTTATCTCCTCCATCTCCGAGGAGGTAGTGTATCTAACGCTCGGGCAGACCAGGTCGCGTGGTGTATGGCTCGCGGCGGAGACAGCGCTCGGATCCTCATCGCAGGTGCGCTGTCTGAATCTCATGGGGCAATTTCAGGCGTTGAGGCAGGGAGACATGTCCATGCCGGAATATTTGGGCCGTGCGCAACATCTCATGGAGGATCTAGCGCTCGTCAGACGCCCCATGACCCTCTCGGAACAGAATCTATATGTGTTCCGGGGGTTACGACCGGAATTCAGATCCATGGCCGCTTCCTTGGCAGTCAGCGGCACACCTTTGACGATTCCCCAGCTTGCGGACTATTTACAGGCGCAACAATTTATTCATGTAGATGATTTTCCCACTCCGGCGACCGGCGATCCAGTGGCGATGTATGCAGGTTCTGGCCGTCGAAATCATGGAGATGGGAACCAGCGCGGTGGTCAGCGCGGTGGCGGCAATCGCGGAGCAGGTGGTCGTGGCGGAGGTAATGGCCGTGGTGGCCGTGGCCGTGGAAATGGCCGCGGTCCTGTTCGCTGCCAAATATGCCGAGCGCAAGGCCATTCGGCGGCTTATTGTCATCGCCGCTACTCGGAGCCACCTCCATCGCAGGCTCATATGGCAGTCATGGCAGATGACGGTTCTCATAATCCGGCCACGGCGTGGCTACCGGATACAGGGGCCACAACTCACGCCACACCGGGCTCCGGGCTGCTTTCGCAATCTGAAGATTACCACGGAGATGATGTGTTAAGAGTGGGCAATGGCGCAGGTTTGGATATCTCAAGTGTGGGTCATGCAGTAATTCCATCGGGTTCTAAATCATTAAAATTATCCAGTGTCTTACATGTCCCCGAATTATCTGTGTCACTATTATCTGTTAACAAATTTACAAAAGATAATAATTGTTATTTTGAGTTTCATCCCACCTTTTTTCTTGTGAAGGACTGCGTCACACAGGCGGTAATGCTTAAAGGTCCAAGCTCGGGGGGCTTGTATTCGTTGTCGGTTCCAAAGTCAAATTATGCGTTCGTCTCGGCTCGTGCCTCATCAGCTGTATGGCACCAGCGTCTCGGTCACCCACATAATCAAGCCTTGAGTCGTGTTTTACGGGATTGCCCGGTTGTACCCACAAATAATATCATGCCTAAATTATGTACTTCTTGTCAACTTGGGAAATCATCCCGGTTTCCTTTAGATAGGGTTCATAGTTCTAGTCGCAGTGTTTTGGATTTAATTTACACTGATATCTGGGGTCCCGCACCTATTCTTTCTGCGGATGGCTCGCGCTATTTTGTACTTTTCGTAAATGATAATACCCGCTATTGTTGGTTTTATCCTCTACGATTGAAAACCGATATATATAAAGTTTTCGATGTGTTTAGGGCGATGGTAGAACGTACGTTTTCACGTTCTATATAAGTCCATTCAGTCCGACCTGGGGGGGAGGGATACCAAAAATTACACAAGTTGTTCACTACCTTGGGAATTGTACACAGACAGTCTTGTGCGTATACACACGAGCAAAATGGCCGTGTTGAGCGTCGAAATCGACACATTGTCGAGACTGGTCTGGCTCTAATGGCCCAGGCGTATGTTTCACAACGCTATTGGGATCATGCCTTTGAAACTGCAACCTTTTTAATTAACAGATTACCATCATCCCCACTACAGTTTGATACACCATTTTTTCGCCTATATAAGCAACCACCCAGCTATACATACTTACGAGTATTCGGGTGCCTTTGCTTTCCTTATCTCCGGCCATATAACCGCCACAAAATTGAGTATCGCTCGAGTCCACCGTCTTCTTAGGTTACCCACCTTCCTTTAGGGGTTACCGCTGCATAGACTTAAACACTGGGAAAACCTATACCTGCCGTCATGTTCGCTTTGACGAGACTGTTTTCCCTTTTGCAGTTAATTCCGTGACAATGGGCTCCAAGGCGTCTACACCAGAGGTACCATGGGCCTCCTGTCCTGTGGCCCATCAACCTAGCCCGGTCCTTCCAGCCCTACCTCCACCGCCAGTGGCTGCACCACAGCAACCTAGGGCACAACCGAGGAAACGGGGAAGGCGGGTTCAGATCCAACAAGACCGGTCACACACTATGCGGCTCCGGCGCATGACTCAGGGGTCCGGGGAACAATTACATGCCCTCATTGCAGCAACTGATGATCCAACCTGCTACTCACAGGCAGTTGGACATCCGCAATGGCGGGATGCTATGGACCAGGAGTTCAATGCACTATTGCATAACAATACTTGGCAATTAGTTCCGGCCTCTCCAGACATGAACATTGTGGGTTGCAAGTGGGTTTTCCGCACAAAGCGGAAGGCCGATGGTTCGATAGAGCGCTACAAAGGCTAGTAGCCAAGGGCTTTAATCAGGTTGCCGGGGAAGACTTTTTCGAGACTTTTAGTCCGGTGGTCAAGCCCACTACGGTCAGGATACTTTTATCATTTGCAGTATCTCGACAGTGGACGTTACGTCAATTAGATGTCCATAACGCCTTCTTGAATGGGCATCTAGCCGAGAAGGTCTACATGCGACAGCCGCCGGGTTATGAGGACCCGGATCAGCCCGATTATGTGTGTCACTTACAGCGGTCTCTCTATGGGTTAAAGCAAGCCCCGAGGGCATGGTTCAAGCGTTTGCATGATTTCTTACTTGTCACAGGTTTCGTTGCCTCGAAGACGGATGTATCCCTTTTTCATTACTTTGCAGGGGACTCAAGAGTCTTTTTGCTCGTATACGTGGATGATATCATTATGCTTGGGAATGCACCCCCACTAGTTGACACATTACTCGGTAAATTAGCTGCAGCGTTCAAGATTCGTGATCTTGGAACTCCCACGTTCTTCTTAGGCATTGAAACGTTGAGTGTTCCCGGAGGACTAGTTCTTTCCCAGCGCCGTTATATGCGTGACATCCTACAACGGGCTGGTATGACTGAGTGTAAGCCACTTGCAACTCCCGCTTCTGTTTCTCAGCCGGTCAGTCAGTCCACAGAGTCGTTTGACAACCCGACTCTTTATCGACGTCTTGCTGGTGCGCTACAGTATCTCACCATCACACGCCCGGATCTATCCTATTCGGTGAACCGCCTATGTCATCCACAGAAGAACATTGGGGGCTTCTTAAGCGTGTGTTACGCTATGTTCGTGGTACTTTGGACTACGGGCTTCAGATTTCTGCTTCTGCGACCTCCGACATTCATGCGTACTCTGATTCCGATTGGGCTGGATGCCCAGTTGACAGGAAGTCTACTAGTGGCTACGCCGTGTTCTTGGGGTCGAATCTGATATCCTGGGTGTCCCGGAAGCAACGTATAGTTGCACGCTCGTCCACTGAGGCTGAGTACAAGGGATTGGCAGATGCATGTGCAGAGGTTACTTGGGTTGTTTCATTGCTTAATGAGCTCGGCTTAGGCTCATTGACGGCTCCGACGTTATGGTGCGACAATCTTGGAGCCACATATCTCTGTGCCAATCCAGTCTTTCACGCTCGTACGAAGCACGTTGAGGTAGATTATCACTTTGTTCAGGACAAAGTCTCTGCAGGACAGCTTCAGGTTCACTTCGTTTCTACCAAGGATCAGCTAGCAGATATATTTTAGACATATATTTTATATATATCTTTTATTGTATAGTCTATATATATAAAAAAGTAAAATCCTCCTAGCAAGTTTTCCCCCCAAAACTTAGGGGCATTTTTGTAATCTAATAATAATAATAATAATAATAATAATATCTTAAATAAATAAATTATTATACTTTCCTTTTGAATTAGTATTTTCTACTTATAAATACAAGTTTATAATTCTTTTAATTCCTAGCCTTCCCAGGATTTTCCTTCTCCACATTGGTAGGGCTTCTCCACCCTGTATCTTCCCCATCATTTCATTGACTTTTGTTAATCATCCTGTGATCTTCCACAGTTGAGGCTGATACGTGATTTGCACAGGTGAGGTTTTCATTATCTTAGTTTTTTTTTTTTTTTTGGGTTTTATTTTGTT